TCTTAACCCTCTTAAAAAAAAGGGTTTTAAAAAAAAAAAAAAAAAAAAAAAAAAAAGCATACATCACTCTACTGTTGTAGCTCAATTCGATGGAGGGCAATGTCTTTCAACAGCACTAATAATTGTTGTTATATTACCTTTCTTAGAAGCTAGTCAGGATTTTAACAAGCTGGTCAATGTGCTCGATAGTGTCGATCTACAATTCTGGTAATTTTTTTTTTATTGCTGTACATGAGAACACTACAAGTTTGGACAGGAGTCAATTTATCATCCATCTTTGTATGCATTTTGTCGTATTAAGGGATACGACATTCTTAATGCGCAAATACTGAGCTTCTTATCCTGCGTATCTCAATTGGGAAATCTTTCAGTTACAACTCCGCTACTCTGGAGTCTCATACAAAACTCAAAGTCAAACCCAATGCAAATACACATTTCAACAACCAAGGTTAATTGCAAGTTCTTCAAAAAAGAAAAGGGTATTGGTCAGTAAACCATTACTCTTTTGGGAACTGAAAAAAAAAAAAAGGTTCCTAGTATAAGTAAAAAGCTATTAAAGCTTTAAAATTTTAATATTCCTAGAGTGGTAATATTTGTCGGGTAAAAAGTTAAAGTACCAGTTTGGGAACTCTTTATTTACAAACTCAGACATTAAAAAATTAGTAAGGAAAAGAACCTTTTTCTTCAAAACATTTTCTTTTCATTTTCCTTTGCAAGCTCCCCTTTATTTTCAGACAAATATCGCAAATGTTGAAAAGTCCTCCACAAATCAATAAACAACTGTCAAATCTGTGTGTCAGGGATTTAGTAATAGCCAACACACTTGGGCATAATTTGCAAGGTTTGTAATCATTAGCAATGCCTTCCCACTACAGGATCTTCCTTGAGAAATTGTCACTAAAAAAAAAAAAAATTGTCTGCTAACAAAATGTCGCAGACACTGATTTTTTCTTGCCAGTAGCCAAAAGAGCGAAATCTTGTGTTTATACGATATAGCAAAATTATCTGACCGATTACTTTATCAATAACTTCCTCCTCCTCCTCCTCCTCCTTCGTTCCCAGTTTATCAAGCAGACTTTTTGAAATTATGACTTTGCAAATCACAAACTTGGGAGAAGATATAATTGTTGACATATTGGAATACCTAACTCCTGAACAAATTTTCAAGTTTCTCACTCTAAATAAAGCCCTTTATGAGATATACATCTCCTCCAACACAATCTACCAGTTGCTATATAATAAGAAATTTACAAATAATGAGAATAACTATACCCTAAGTCTCAAAGATCAAATCAATTGGAAACAATTGTTTCAACTACGGTGTAACAAGAATCAAAAGATTTTTACCTGGGGCGAAAATAATGGCGGAAGGTTGGGTTACTTATCATCGAGCATCGATGCGTCTCATGTTTCCAAAAAGTTGGGTGGTTGGTCAGTTCATACACCAACAAATATCCCCGAATTTAACAATCGTATTGTAGTGGATTTGAAGGCAAACGGGTATAGTTTTATAATCTTGTTAAATAATGGGGAACTTTGGTTTACAGGTATGGACTGGAAACGACCTCAACAAGGTTTGGCTACACCAGGGCCAATTAGAGAGAAAGATTACAAACCGAACCCAGGAACTTTGGCTTTGCTTAATATGGATAGAAATAACAATCTAGAAAATCAGATGAATGAAAACCCTGGTAATGGAAGACACAATAATAGGCCCATTGTGCCTGTTCATCATAATGGTAGATTTGGTGTATTGCCAATTCCATTGATGTGGAGACGTTATTCTGACAGCGATAGTGATGAGGAACGCAATAATAACCAAATGACTTCCTCCTCCTCCCCCTCCTCATCATCATCATCATCACAACCCAACTCTGAGGCTTCAGGATCTAGACCGAACCTTCAACCAGCCACATCATCACTAAATCATCCAACTTCAAATATTCAAGAGACAAATTTTCTATCGAGACTATTTCTACCACCAGAGGTTTCAACTGCAGCCACTGCAGTGGAATCGATCAATTCACTTGATCCAAGGAAAGTGGTATCAATAGGAACAGGCCGAGAACATATCATTGCATTGGATAATCATGGTAACATATACTCTTGGGATTCAGGATGTAGTTCGAATATTGGCATCAAGATTAAGTTTAGAGGTATTCCAAGTAAAGCAGTCATTAATAAAATTGCAGCTGGATGGAATTTATCTGCCTGTTTAATTGAAGATATCGGCTTGTTAGTATGGTACACTCGCAAAGCAACTACAAGGGAGCAATTTGAAAGTCGAAATTTCGAGTGTGAGGCAAGTTATTTGATTATTCCTTTTACCAAAAATGATGTTGCAGATTTCACCGTTGGTGCAGATTATGTCTTGTACATAAAAAAGTCAAACTCCAAACTATTCCAATTCAGATTGAATGCTCACGAATTTGCTTCGAGAGATGAGGAAGCAGCTACGGTTAGTCCCGAAGAGTTGAAACAAAAAATCTATCCCATGACAAACTTCAACAACTGGCTATCACAGCAAACACAAAACGTTCAATTCACTCGATTAAATAGCTGCTTTACCAACTTTGTTGTATTTACAAATCACGATCATGTATTGATTGGAAATAATGATCATTTGCTTTTTGCCACAGATGATGATGATGATGATGATGGTGATGAGTCTTCTGCTGCCGCCGCCGCCTCCTCCTCTGGAGCGTCCCCAGTTATCCTCCCTGAGTTACAAGGACAAAATATAAAGTCAGTAGAGATTGGTGATTATCATTACCTTGCCTTAACAAATGAGGGTGGCATATTGAGTTGGGGAATTGAATCGAGAAGCTGTGGATGTTTGGGAATTGGAGCTAGGGAATTGGCGATAGAGCAAAACCCTACAAATTGTTTGCCCAAAGGCAATAACCTCGAAGTCATTCTTCCTATGAAAGTCAAAGACCCATATCAAAATAGATTAAGAGAAGATAGAGGTGAACAAAATGGGAAATGGGTAAGCATTGCTGCTAGTGGCTGGCATTCTGGTGGTATATATGTCCCTAACGACGAGTAAATACAAAACATTCATTCTTATTTTCTTTATAGAGGCCAAAGATACATTACTAGAAAAGTCTCTTGTGGGTCTGTCTTATCTGAAAGGGAGAAAAAAACTCCGTATGCTAAGTGGTAGCTTTAGAGATCTATTGTTCAAAAGCTCGTATAATGATCTCGTAGCTTTTGATCCAAAATCCTGGGAGGGGGGGAGGAAAACAAAATCTTGGGCCCAGTTTCTTCTACATCCTACTATTGGTCGTCCTACCGTTGCCTTGTTCTCTATTTTTACCTCGTATGTTCTTTTGATCTGTTGACTTATCCAATCACTACTAATTATAGTAACTCTGATTTCGATTTGAAAAAAAAAAAATTATCAGCAAAAAAAAGTCAGTCAAAAAATTTTGTAATTGAGATTGCCACTCCTTCATTCACTGATAGAACCACACACGAGTTTAATAAGTTCACTTAGTATACCCATACCTATACCTATAGATACCTATACCTATATATATATATATATATATATATATTCATATATATATTTATTACTTGCATTGACTCCTTGGAATAAGGTTAGTTGCTGGAAATAGCCTGGCTGATTATAAACAACACACAGTTGAAACAGAAAGGAAGGGGGGAAAAAAAAAAAAGAGAACAGGATGACTGATATTTCGCCCGATACTAGAGACTCGTCTTTGCTAAAACCAGCTGAGATCAAGATAACACCACCATTGAACCAACTGAAAGAACTGAGACAACCGCCCTCTGTATCTAGATTATCGTCATATTCAGGGCTAGATTCTCTGAATTCAACAGGACAGGGACAGGGACAACAGGGGCAACAGGGGCAACCGCAGGCGTCCATGATCAATTCCAATGATCCACTTATAAATTTATCGTCATCTTCAACTGCTTACTCGTCGTCCAATGGTGGCTCGCCTCGTTCCAGAAGAAATACCGCGATGCTCCATAATTCTGCTTCCAGTACGTCTCCTTCACGGCTTAGAAGTAATAGTGCTGTAGGTAACGAATTAACACCCACTCCATCGCATCACCAACCGGCACACACGGTTACTAGGCAACGTAGATCCTCATCTTTGATACAACATTTGGAGCCAGATACTTTAGATACCAAAATTGACCAAGCTTTGAATCCAAATGTTAATGCCAATTGGGTTGACCAGAAGGGAGCGTGGATCATTCATATTGTTATTATTGTTCTACTCAAGATATTTTATAATTTCATAAGTGTTTTGGATAATGATTGGAAGTGGACTTTGACAAATTTGACATATACAATTGGGTCATATATCATGTTTCATCAAGTTAAAGGTACGCCATTTGAATTTAATAGTGGTGCGTATGACAATTTAACAATGTGGGAACAAATAGATAACGGTGATCAATATACTCCGTCAAAGAAGTTTTTGATGTTGGTTCCAATTGGATTATTTTTGATAAGTACTCATTACTCGAGGTATAACTTGTATTTATTCTTATTAAACGGTCTTAGTTGTCTTTGTGTTGTGGTGCCAAAGTTGGCCTTTGCTCATAGATTGAGAGTCACCTTGTTCTAAGGGGAAACATATAGAAAGGAAGAGACAAAGAAAAAGGATAAAGAGAGAGGGGGGAGGAGGAAACACGCCCCCTCCCCCTCCCCTCCCCCCCCTTTCTCTGCCTCCCATGTAAACGGTCAACCCAAACCGCCAGAGAAAGAAAGAGAGAGAGAGAGAGAGAGAAAGAGAGAGAAAGAGAGAGAAAGAGAGTTTGTGTGTGTGTATGTGAAAAGCAAAAGTGTAAATGTTGACGTATCAATTTGGTGAAATTTTGCATTTTTTTTTTGAGAAACTTATTATCTTTTGGTTCCATTTCACATGTTACAAGAAACATTAAAGCAGATAGTATTTAGGCCTTTTGTTGTTGTTGGTCAGATATTTATGAAACGAACATCAGTAACTTCTTTTGATGAATGATGATTACTTTGACTCTTTTCACTACTTGTTTTTTAGATGAAGGTTTAAAAACCTTCAACTTAAAAAAAAAGTTTAGTTCATACTTACTCTTCTTTAAATTATGGACAGTACGAGATAAGTCACTACTATAAAAGAAAACAAAAAGTGACTCGGTTTCTGTTTTATTTTATTATATTGACTTCTTTCCTTAAGCACGTGATGCCATCGTCTTCCCCAAAAAAAAAAAAAAAAAAGTCAGAGAAGAAGGGAATGAGGTTGAAAGTCACAATTTTTCAATTTCAAGATACCATAACCCTTCTTCTTCTTCTTGAGCGGTACGAATTTTGATCGTTTATTGACTAGCCAAGCTTTTGCAATTCGAGATATACAATGGGATACGCTTTATCAGAGTCACACAGACAATTAACTGAAGGTCATTTAAAGGACACTGACCCCGAAGTTGACCAAATTATCAAAGATGAAGTTGATAGACAAAAGCACTCGATTGTGTTGATTGCTAGTGAGAATTTTACCACTACTGCGGTTTTTGACGCCTTGGGAACCCCCATGTGTAATAAATACTCGGAAGGGTATCCAGGAGCTAGGTACTATGGTGGTAACGAACATATTGACAAGATGGAATTATTATGTCAAGAGAGAGCATTAGAAGCTTTCCACTTGACCCCAGATAAATGGGGTGTTAATGTACAAACGTTGAGTGGATCACCAGCAAATTTGCAAGTTTATCAGGCTATTATGAAACCCCATGAACGTTTAATGGGATTGGATTTACCTCATGGTGGTCATTTATCTCATGGTTATCAAACTGACCTGAGAAAAATTAGTGCTGTGTCTACTTACTTCGAGACTATGCCATATAGGGTCAATTTGGAAACTGGATTGATTGACTATGACATGTTGGAGAAAACTGCTGTTTTATATAGACCAAAGGTTTTGGTTGCTGGTACAAGTGCTTACTGTAGATTGATTGATTACAAGAGAATGAGAGAAATCGCCGACAAGGTTGGTGCTTATCTTGTTGTTGATATGGCACATATTTCTGGATTAGTTGCTGCTGGAGTCATTCCAACACCATTTGAATATGCTGATATTGTTACTACCACAACTCACAAATCACTTAGAGGACCAAGAGGAGCCATGATTTTCTTCAGAAGAGGTGTTAGATCAGTTAATCCAAAAACTGGACAAGAGATTTTGTATGACTTAGAAAACCCAATCAATTTCTCCGTTTTTCCTGGTCATCAAGGTGGTCCACACAATCACACCATTGCCGCTTTAGCAACTGCCTTGAAACAAGCAAATAGTAAGGAATTCAGGGAGTATCAAGAACAAGTTTTGAAAAATGCTAAAGCTTTAGAAGAAGCATTCACTAACAAAGGTTATAAGTTAGTTAGTGACGGTACCGATTCTCACATGGTTTTAGTTTCACTTAAAGATAAGCAAATTGATGGTGCAAGAGTCGAAACAGTTTGTGAAAAGATCAATATAGCTTTGAATAAGAATTCGATTCCTGGAGATAAATCAGCTTTGGTTCCAGGTGGTGTTAGAATTGGGGCACCAGCAATGACAACCAGAGGATTGGGTGAAGATGATTTTAAGAAAATCGTTGACTACATTGACTTTGCAGTCCAATATGCAAAACAAACTCAACAGGATTTACCCAAAGATGCCAATAAATTGAAAGATTTCAAGAATAAGGTATTGAATGGCTCTGATGAAGCTTTGGAGAAGATCAAGCAAGAAATTTCCGACTGGGCTGGCTCCTTCCCATTAGCTGTTTAAGCAACTATTGTGACAAACCCTTTTTTTTTTGTCTTTATGTTTGATTCATTGGTTCATTTATGATTGAAAAAAAAAAAAAAAAAAAAGAAATAAATAAAAAATTATGATACTTGTGTATATCTTTGTATATCTTTATCATCACTCATTGTTTATATGATATATAATACATATATATCTCTTTGATTTTTCTGAGTTGATGAGAGAGTAAGTCAATAAGAACCAAAAGGGTAAAAAAAAAAAAACGACAGTGCACGCGTCTTTTTAAACCTTTCAAAGAGTATTGTTTACTTTCCTTCTTTTTCCTGTCCCTGTAGAACAATAAGTTGTACCAACTGTGTTTTGTAATTTTTCTTTTTTTTTTTTCTCACCAAACCCACCCCCACAACCCTTTGCTTCCACCACTGACAAAGCAGATAGAATAAGCTAAGTACTAGGGGTTATGATTTTGACTTATTAACCTTTAAATTTATCATGAATCTTATCAACAAAATGCAAATGGCTGTGAAAAGGGTATTTATATCTTCATTCAGATATGCTACTTACTAAACTTGAATATTTTTTTCAATAGCTGCATGAAGAAAAAAAAAAAAAACACTAAAGTAAAAAAAGAAAAAGTATTGCTAAAGCCGATGCTTCCATGCTGTTTCCGTTACCTTGATAAACGCAATTGGTAAACGTCGCTAACTAGACCGAGCTGTGAAAAGACGTTTTTCCGTGTAATAAAAAGGCTGCTGCTGTGTATGTGTATGTGTATGTGTATGTGTGTATATGTGTGTGTTCATGAATATGTTGACACATTATATTATTTGCACCCATTTTCTATTTTTTTTCCCTTTTCTTTTTTTGCAATCAGTCCTGTAATCAATAGATTTATTAGTTCTTTTTTGTTGGCTTGAATTGGACGAAGATGATAAAACAAAGAACTACTCCGAGAGAAGGCCTTGTAAGCTTATAACCAATATAGTATTTGTCTACATTCCCTTTTTTTTTTTAGTATATTGACCCTCCTTATTCCCCCTTCTTTTTCTCTCATTGTGTGATTTTGTTAATCGTGGGAATTAAAAAAAAAAAAAAAAATATCGGGCTTCTAAGCAGAATTACTTGATGAATGGTATCATAACCAATGTAAATTATTGAAGCCATAGCACCTTTCAAAGGGTTCCAAGTATAATAACAATAAACTACAAATAAAATATGCGTATTTATATATATTTTGTAGCAAAAGCACTCTCTAGAAAGATTTTTTGAAAAATTTTACCAGAGAATCTAGCGAAATTGTATGCTCCTAAGTATGAGTGAATTTAGAATGCGTAGATTCTTTGTAATATCCACAGCTTTATTGGTAATACTAGGTGTACTATTTGTGTTCCGGTTGCCTATAGATACATTATCCATATCAGGCATACATTCTCCATCAAAGGGAAAAACTACCCAAGAGTCAGGCGATTCACCTTTTTACACTAAAGAGGAATACAATGATGAAGCATTTGAATATGAAAAATTAATTATGCGATTGCGAAATTCTGGTAAACTTGGTCAAAATAAAAAACGATCAGTATTGGTCCTTTCGTCGATTGGGAAAGACCAACCATACGGAGAAGGAAGAACATTGGAGCAGTTCTTCCTTACAATATTCACGCTAGTAGAAAATCAACCAAAATACGACTTCTCTCTTGGGCTATTAAACAATTTTCCTAATGAAGTTGAAAAAATCAAGCACTACATCACTAAAAATGAAGAAAAAATGTCAAAATATTTCAACAAAATCACAGTATCTTCGGCACCTCACTTGGAAGACGCTGGAGGAATCTCACGAGAACTGCGCCATGATGATTCAAAGCAAAGATTACGTAGAAGGCTAATTGCCAGGTCTCGCAATTTTCTAATGCTGGAGTCTTTGGAGAATGAACAATATATACTATTCATGGACAGCGACATTGTGTCATTTGATAAACAAGAAATGTTCATTGATGTCATGGTCAAGTCGGAAAAGGACATAATTGTACCCAGAATAAGAAAAAGGTTTGGATTAACAGATTATGATCGAAATTCATGGCGTGGTAAAAGAACCAAACCAACTCAAGAACAGTTGGATATCATGGATTCAAATCAATGGGACAAATTTGATTACGTCCCTAAGGACGTACCTGGGGAAATTTTCCATTTTTTCCACTTAGACAATACAGAGAACGAAGAATTGAAGAAATTAGATCATTTCGAACCTTTAGATTCTGTTGGTGGCGCCGTGTTATTCTTCAAATCTATCATTTATAGACAAGGTGTTATATTTCCCACAAGTTACATAGTGGGTACTACTTGGGATAGACTAGAAGGTTATGATGGCATTGAAACAGAAGGTATATGTTACTTAGCCAAACCTTTGGGCTATGAATGTTGGGGTATGCCAAATCTCTCCGCTTATCATATAGAATAGTACAACTTAAGAGGAGCCATTTGGTGGTGAGGTAGAGGAAGGAAGAGAGAATGAAAAAAAAAAAAAAAGTTAATATATATCTATATATATATTCATTCTATACGCCAAAGTCCAAGTTTGTATCGTTTATCCATTGCCAAACCTTCATGATCTCACCATGCTCCTCCACAATACTAGCAGCTATGTTTGTATTATTTTCAATCTTATTACTTACCTGATTCCATAATCTCAACCGCTCACCTAGATTATGTACATTACTCAATATCAAATCTCTTAATTGATTAGACCCAATATATGGTTTAATTGTCTCGTTATTCTTAGATAATTTCAACTGAGTTATCAACTTATTAATGACTTCTTGGTATATGATATCAAGCTTGACAAGTTGTATTTGGTAGTTTTTATACTTATATTGCAAGAATCTAAAAGCTGCGATAACAAGTATAATGAAACTGATCTTGTATTTATATTCTGTCAAGTTGCCCATTATACTATTCTGTAGTTGACATTTCAAGCTAATGTTTGATAAGGACGTTGATCGAAAAACCTGGTTCTTCTCTTGTGTCTTGGTTTCAGTGTCGTTAGTGTCAAATGTGAGTTGTTCTGAACTTGAAGCATCATTAATTGGGACCTAAAAAAATGAAACGGTTAGTATAAAAAAAAAACAAGAACAAATAATTATTTAAAAAATGGAAGGGGTTCGTACTTGCCTTAAAATCACCTCTGGTTCCTTCTCCAACTCTTTAAAAGATCTAGACCAAAGTTCTTCAAACTCTTCATGAGTGATATATGGAGCTTTCATTGATAACAAAATATCGTGTAAATCACTCAATAAGATCCCACTTTCTTCATCATCATTCCCCTTACCACATTGCACCTGAGCATTTTTACTTCTCAATAAATCCAAAGCCACTTCAATCATAATCTCCAATTTCTCTGCCTTTTTAGTATCAGGAATACATTTCTTGTAGCCAGGAAGAAAAACATCATACCAAGGTTTGAATTCCACAAAGTCTTCATAACAACCAAGCTCTAAATTCGGAAAACATCTAGCATGGGGAGGGCACGAAATACACGCTGGTTTGCAATACTCGTCTAAAGTCTGGCCGATTTTATAGAGAACAATATTGGGCGAATTGCCAAGTGTAGTTTCATCAATTTCTTGACCACAGTAACCAACTAAATATTTCTGTTCGTAATACCAGTAGCCAAATATAAGTATGGATACAAAGAATGTCCAAGTTAGAAGTGTACCCAACATTTCAAAAAGTGACTTTTTGCTGCCAGAAGAAGATTTGACGGAGTCAGTGGACCTCTCTGTCTTAGATATCTCTGTTTTCCTATCCTTCTTGTCTTCATCCTCATCGTCATCGTCATCGTCATCCTCCTCCTCATCCTCTTCATCGTCATCGTCATCTTCGTCGTCCGTAACAATTTTTGATGCAGTTATGGAGATCAATCTCGGTTTTGGGGTCAATCCTGCTCTTGTTATTGGGGTTCTAACCCTTTTAGGTAAATCTCTAAGCATTTGAGGCGTGACATTTCTGCTTCTTGGTTGTAATGACCCGAATCCGGATTTAGCTGACGTTGGAGTTACTTTAGATACTTCTGGTGTAGCCTTTACTGACTTGGGTGTCGATGTTCTATCACGTTCCCTTGTTTCACTTTTTTTGGACTTTGTTAAATAACTCGTATTTCTACTACTCGATAATGGTGTTTCCTTTTTGATCCGATTAACAGAGCGGGAACTTGGTGTTTGAGGTTTGATTGGTTTTGGCGAAATAACAGGGCCATTGATTGGGTTCGAAGGCGAGTTTTGTACACTGGCGCTGGGTGTATCAGTAAATGCTCTATCCTTCGATTTCAATGCGTGACTTGATATACTTTCATCTGATATATCTGAGTTGTTGATGATTTCATTATTAGTAGTAAGTTGCCCCTCGGGTGGCGACGCAACTTTCTGCTGTGGATAAAGCCCTTGTATGGTTACTCCCAACAGCTTTGCTAACTCATTATCTATTGTTGGTGTATTTTCAAACTCAATATGACTTTTTCCAACCTTCTCAAAATTACCCAGTGTGTCGGGGGAAGTTGGCTTGACTTCAATTGGACTCGAAGGTCTTCCATTCTCTAATTTAGCTCTTGGAGTCTTTGGCATAGAATCTTTTACTGTATTATTGTTGTTGTTATTACCATTATTGATGTGATGAGAAGGAGAACTTCTCATTAAATCGTTTTTACTAATTATTGAATACTCGAAAATTTCTGAATCACTATCATCATCAAAAATAGACTTTTTTGTTGTAGGTTTAGCACTAGAAGTGGAGGTAGATTGGATTGGAGACTTTGTCCTTTTTCTTGCGCTTGCGGCATCATCATCTTTATTGTCCAATTTACGCTTTCTTTTCTTGATATGAGCCTCATCTTTTTGAGACTGAAATACATTTTCAGCACTAAATGGACTGAGCTCTACATTGTCCTTTGAATTTTCGATTTCTTCCACTTTGACCTCACTTTCTGCCTCTACCTTCTCCTCACTTTCTGTCTCTACCTTCTCCTCACTTTCTGCCTCTACCTTCTTCTCACTTTCTGCCTCTACCTTCTCCTCACTTTCTGCATCTACCTTCTCCTCATCCGTCTTCAATTGTTGACCTAGCGAATCTAAATTCTTGATGGTATTGCTCGATAAGTTCAGATTCATTTCCTCCGTTTTAACCTCCTTAGACTTTGACTTTGACTTTGACTTTGACTTTGAGTCTTTTCTAGTAGTCCTTTTATGACTCTTAGAGTCGTCTTCATTCAAAATTGGATTATTTTTGTTCCTAGATTTGTCATCTGTATCGCTATATACGGCTGGCTTCTCATTTTGTTCGTCATTTGCTACATTAACAAATCCTCGATCATCGGAATTATTGGCCCTTGACAAATAATCCTCTAGCCATTTTGAGGCATTAGGTCTCACCACATCTTCGAAAATCTCAACCAACTGATTCTTCTTTGCAGTGCTGGGGAAAGGTATTTGATGTAGATTTAAAATGTTTCTCAATCTTGATACTTTGACCAAAGTTGGATCAAAATCTATTATTCAAAAAGCAATCAATGTTAGTAAGGTCTAGGAACAAAGAAAAGAAAATTTTTCTTTGACTTTTCGTTTTCATCCAAAAGTGTTACTTACCTGGCTGTAAGTGGTCCATTGTGCGACTGGCTGTGCCACGACTTTGATATGTTAAACCCCGTTGGAATTCTACCTCAGCTCTTTAAGCAATAGTATATTTACATGTATTCTTTTTTCGTGTGATCAACATCTCCGTTAAAAAAAAAAAAAAAAAAAAGTTGTTTATATTTTGATACAGCGGCCACGACGTTTTTTTGTTAGCATCGGATAATCCTTTTTGCAACTTTGATTGTAATCAATTTTCTTGAACTTTCCAAAGAGTGATGAATCTGGTGGTTGAAATAACTGCTTTTTGGTATGAGGTAGGTACTCTTTAATGTTTTACTGGGCAAAGTATTTTGAGAGTAAATGCAACATTTAAGCAACTATTGTATCCCCTATCGAGCAGAGCGAGATAGTGGATCAACACTTGTATCTTGTTACATCCACAATCGAGCAGAGCGAGATAGTGGATCAACACTTGTATCTTGTTACATCCACAATCGAGCAGAGCGAGATAGTGGAGCAGCACTTAAATCCTGTTACATCCACAATCGAGCAGAGCGAGATAGCGGATCAACACTTTATATCTTCTTACATCCACTATCTCGCTCTGCTCGATAGTGGGGTAACATTCTCAAGTGGTATAAGATTTGTTGGCTACTTGAGATTGGTTAGAGTAAATAATTTCCAAGATAAGCAGTAAAAGATTGAAAAAAGTAGTACAAATTTTGGTAGCTGTACCTTGATGAAACTTTTGGCTCAAAAAGAAACCAAAATTTGATACAAACCAGAGCAACACTATCTCGCTCTGCTCGATTGTGGATGTAACAAGATACAAGTGTTGATCCACTATCGAGCAGAGCGAGATAGTGGATGTAACAAACTACTACGTGTTGCTCCACTATCTCGCTCCGCTCGATAGTGGCGCACACTGACATTATCTCGCTTTGCTCGATAGTTTACAAAAGAGTAGAGATTGACTGGTAAAGTCACGCAACCAAACAATAACCTTTGAACTTTTCTATACTTTTTGCAATAATCTGCTCGAAAACTTATTTGCACTCAAATATATTTATGCATGACTAGTTGAGAACCTTATCGCTTGCCCTTATCGCTTGCCCTTATCACTTATCCAGTTTCAAGTTATATCTTTGAATGCACAATAAGGTCCAATTTACTAATGGTGGTTTCATCCCCCACCCCCCCACGTGTAACAACTGATAGTTTCTAGAAAAATGTAGAACGTTTGTGTAATTTTGCTTATTATTTTTTTTTTGCAATGATTATCAACAAACCCACAACCAAAATAATACATATTTTTCAATTTCCAATTTTCTCTTTGGGATAAGTAGGCGTTTTGACTACGGAGTTTTTAGTTTCGGTATAAACATCAATATGTAAGATGCAACAAAGCTTGGTAATAAACAATAAGAGAAAAAAAAAAGAAAATGAAGCAAGTAAAAAGAAAAAGAACCATGAGTAATGCAACTCAACCCTGTTATGTTTGAAGAAACGTGGGTACTACTTTCATTAATCACGTGTTCTACATCCTGATAATCTTGCTTGATAATATTATGTATTAGCAATCCTAATTTGCTTCCCCGCCTTTCCCTCACCCTTTCACACGAGGTAGATACCCATAAATGAATCGTTGATACTACATAATGCAATTCTCCACTAGCTCGCTTCGCTCGCTAGTGTTAAGTAAAAAGGTTTTTGATCTCAGCTTATTTTATTATACTACAGAATAAAAAATAGAGAGAGAAAAAAAAAAAAAAAGGAGAGAATGGCGCACATGTCTTTGTTGTGGTGCAGCATTTGCATAAAGGACAATAGACGTACAGGTTATAGTCATGTAATACAATAGTCCAAATTAATATAGTTGATGTCTATCTATGCTATTTTTGTTTTTCGGACTACAGCCTAAGTGGCTCTGTTTGATGTAAGTATATATATATATAATACAGAAGTAAACATCAGGATTAAATATACCTACTGTTGGATTTAATACTACTAATCTCACCTTATCTCACCGCTTGCCACACCTTGTCTCACCGCTTGCCACACCCTTCTCTAACCCTTATATCTCAATTGTTATCGTTTAGACCAACAGTAAGACATTGCCATATACTAACCCCACTCCATATTTATCCCATAGGATCAAGAAATCAAAGAACAAATTATTATTTTTTTTTTTTTTTTTTTTTTTTTTTTTTTTACGACACACGGAAATTGGAAAAAAAAGAAAATTGACAGACAAAATTTTCTTTATGACAATAACCCAGCTGGCAATATATCATCAACATTACTGTCAGCACCGCCAGCACCTCTGCTACGTCCTATTACACGTGTTCACCTCAGTTTAGACCACTATATATATACGAGATACTGGTATTACCACCAACGAAAAAATTACTAAAAATAGAAATAAGTACATATACCTCACCCAATGATATAGTAACACACTTCAAATCAAAGTTTTGAAGATGACGTACAGTGGTTCCAGAAGGATAAGTCCAAGTCCCAGAAATAACTTTATGCCATTATCTTCATTGTCATCTTCGCCTTCGGAACTACCATATCTCAAGTGCTTACCATGTACGGCTCGGTATTTAAAGAGGAGGGTGAATGTGAATAGTAGTAATACGCCACGACAAAAGTACCACCCAAACAAAAGTACATTTATTAAACAGCAACCACTTAGCTTGCATGATACTACCACCAGTAATGATGATACTTTTGCTGAGTTTTTATCTCAATATTTGAGGTTGCCCGATATCAAAACCACTTTGAATGATCATGAGCTCTATTTCAAGTCTCTAAATAAACAGAGAAAATTGAAATCGTACGAGGTTTATCAAAAATATTTGAACAAGAAGCCAAAGAAGAAAATTCAACTTGAACGGCATTACAAAAAGGATGACAATGACAATGACAATGAAAATTACCAACAACGTGTAAATAAATCAAGCCCAACAGTTTGTTCAAAGGAACAGGCTATAGGATCAGGATCAGGATCAACCCAATTTGAAAAAGAAAATAAAGTCCATTACAAACAACCGAAAAAGCTACAACCAGTTGAGGAAGTAATAGATGAGCCTATAAGTATTAGGCGACTACCATCAAGCTTTATGGAATGTCCAATTGACCATTTAATCATATTAATCTCGCGAATGCTCAAGTCGCTAATTACCTTGAATAACAAATCTGTGCCTAGTTCCATATCGAACCCGCCACTCATTAAAAGTACGCAGCAGCAGAAGCAGCAGCAGGCTACAAACAACTTGCTAACCAGGTACCATTCACGCACGCCACCAGCGATATCAACATTCACCTACCTTACGCGACTAACCAGGTTCAACAATTTCAACCCAGCGATTTTACTAACCACTATATATTACATTGACTTATTATCGCACCAATACCAGCCATTTTTTACCCTAAATTCTTGGACAGTACATAGATTTTTATTAGTGGCAACAATGCTCGCTCAAAAGTCACTAGAGGATTTTTTTTATACCAATGACCATTATGCAAAAGTAGGTGGTGTTACTTTAAGTGAATTGAATTGTTTGGAATTAGATTTCTTGAATCGGGTTGATTGGAGATGTATACCTGGCAAACAAGAGATTGATTCTACAACAGGCTGTATGAGAAATAAAATAGCGTATGCTCAAGATGTTTTGAATTTATATTATTCGCAATTGATTGAATTGATGGGGAGGACTACTGTGCATGATGAAGGTATTGAAATGAGCGATAATAGCAAGAAGGTTCATTATTTGAAAGGAATTGTTGAAGAAGCCAGTGATGACATTGGCAGCAAGTTGAGTAGCGAAGAAACTAATGTGGATGAGGGGGAAGAATACGAGGATAAGGATGACGATGACGAGATTTACTATAGCGATGATGAGGATGACGAGGTGGAAGATGACGAGGAAGAAGATGAAGAAGAGGAAGAGGAAGAAGAAGAGGAAGAGGAGGAAGAGGAAGAAGAGGAAGAAGGAGAGGAGGAGGATGCCGATGAAGAAGAATTAGAGAGTATAAAAGTTTATAGACAACAACCCAACTCGTCGGTATTACGCAGCCCAACTATATATGACGAGAATGGTTATAGCTTAAATGGGGCTTCCTCTCCACACTTGAAACGAAGGTATAATAGTGAATAAATTTAATAGATCAGATTTGACTTTTCGAAGATATAAGTGATGTATACAAGTATTTTTCCTTTTTGAAAATGTATACAAGTATTTTTTCTATTTGTAGTGATGATTTTATGTTCGATCGCTCCTACGCTGATAGTCTCTTCAACTTTTTGTTGAAAGTCATTTTTTTACCCTATACAATTAAACTTAGTGTCGATGGCAGCTAGTGTGCTCTACTATCGAGCAGAGCGAGATAGCATCGATAGTGTCGGTGACAGCTAGTGTGCTCTACTATCGAGGAGAGAGAGATAGCATCGATAGTGTCGAGGAGAGAGAGATAGCATCGATAGAGTCGATGACAGCTAGTGTGCTCCACTATCGAGCAGAGAGAGATAGCATCGATAGAGTCGATGACAGCTAGTGTGCTCCACTATCGAGCAGAGAGAGATAGCATCGATAGAGTCGATGACAGCTAGTGTGCTCCACTATCGAGCAGAGAGAGATAGCATCGATAGAGTCGATGACAGCTAGTGTGCTTCACTATCGAGCAGAGAGAGATAGCATCGATAGTGTCGCCTTTCGGCATTATGGCATTGTTAAAATGGTTGCAAAAAAAAGCTATATTTTTCTTTTGAAAGGTTATGAGCACGCTACCATCGGTCCTATTATGGCTTCAGTCGTAAATCAAAGACTAATTTTAGTGTTGTTAGTGATTGGGCTCTGTCCATATAGCAAAGTTGGTAAACTTTTTATTCGTGAGGTAACCATAGAGAAAGAAAAGAGGCTAATGCGGTTCTAGACTCTTTCGCTAGTCAGCGAATAAAGACTACAAATGGAACAACATTCTTTCGTTGCGGCTAGAACTTTTCAAAAATAAAGCCGGATATTGTCTTTCAGCCAATATTACCAATTCATTCTAATCTTTCTAATCAAGATGACTAATGTCGTGTACAAAATGTCTTTAAGCTTGTTTTTTTTTTTCTCAATGTAAGATATGGAGATAAAGCGTTGTTTGTCATAGTATAATTTTTTCAAAGAATAGAAAAAAGTACGGATTTTAGAAGAGAAAAAATACGGATTTAAAGAAAAAACGACTTTTTTTTTTTACAAAATTCTTTGAATTCGATACTGAACCATAGCCATATATCTTGAAAGGTTTAGTAAATTTCTTTGCAAAAAAGAAAAAAGAAAGAAAAAAGGGTAAAAAAACAAGTTTATTGAGCGGCTTGTAGACCAATCATCAAGGTATCTCTACTCTTGTTACTTCACTCCTCTATCCCCTTCCCATCAAGGGTCTCCATGATAGAATCTTTTCTAGTAACTTTCTAACAAGCTTCTTCGGACTCGGTGAGACGTATCTCCGCAACATCCACCCCCCATTAGAGACCTTTTTTTCCTTCTTCCGTATATTTTCTATGCACGTTCTATTGTATATTTTGTGTTCCTTAATAACTTTGCTTCTAATCAACACTGCCTTATGAGTGTGGAAAAAATTATCAGCTAAGCAATAAAGTCTGTGCTCTATCTTATTTAGGTTATGTATTTGAATGTATGATGAAATATTGTGCGACATTTGACAATTAGGCATCTCCCTACCTTGTTTAAATATAAATACTACACTATCATTTCATTTCATCTCATCTCATCATTTTCCAATGCAGAAAATTAGCCTGGTTATATAGTAGCCATTGGTACTTTAAAGCACACCTTTTAATTTTTAATTGAGCTTGGCCAGTCAATATACAGAAACAAAGTGGATTTTTAATCAAAAACCCAGGTTGTTTTGCATTTTTTTTAAAAAAAAGAAAAGCTAAAGCTAGCGTTTTAAACCAATAGGTTGTATTAGTATGGTGGATTCTATTTCAACAAGCACTTCACTAGAAAGTATTACTGCTAATGATTTCAACAAGGGCCAAGACTCGTCTTCAAATGACATTGAAAACTTTCGAGGTGATTTTAACGAGGAGGATGAAGCAAGCAGAGTGCTCAATTTGAGAAGAACAATCACCAACTTATCACAAAAGAGTGGGAAGAACAAGTTGGATTCGATATCGAGAGAAATCTCAAGACAAATTTCCAACAAAGAAGGACATTTTGAATTGAAACTAGATGAGTTCAACTTGATGAGAATATTATCGAATTTTGTTTATTTTGCTAAAAAACAAGGCATTGCTTTGAGAACCAGTGGTATAACATTCCAAGATCTATGTGTTTATGGTACAGATGAATCATTTGCAGTTGTTCCTACTGTTGTTGATTTGTTAAAAGGTCCAATTGGTGGTATTCAGAAACTAGTTTCGAGCTTGAGAACTCCACATAAGTCGATTTTGAAGAATTTAAACGGTATTGCTAAACCAGGAGAAATGGTTTTAGTCTTGGGCAGACCAGGTGCTGGCTGTACTACTTTTTTGAAGGCAATAAGTGGAACGGATTTCGATCTTTACAAGGGAGTCGAGGGTGACATAAGATATGATGGGTTGACGCAACAGGAAATGTTGAAATATTTCAAAAATGACCTTGTTTATAATCCAGAATTGGATGTCCATTTCCCGCATTTGACCGTAGACCAAACCTTGTCATTTGCAATTGGTTGCAAAACTCCCAATATAAGAATCGATGGTGTTTCTCGAGATGAATTTATTCAAGCGAAAAAGGAAATCTTGGCAACAGTTTTTGGATTGAGACATACTTATCACACAAAAGTTGGTAATGATTTCGTAAGAGGAGTTTCTGGAGGTGAAAGGAAAAGAGTTTCTATTGCTGAGGCCTTGGCCTGTAATGGTACGATTTATTGCTGGGATAACGCTACTAGGGGTTTGGATGCATCGACTGCCTTGGAGTTTGCACAAGCTATCAAGACCTCAACTAAGATGTTGAAAACATCTTCTTTTGTATCGATTTATCAAGCTGGTGAGAATATTTACGAATGTTTTGATAAAGTAACCGTGTTGTACAGTGGAAGACAAATTTACTATGGACCAATAACCAAAGCTAAAAGGTATTTTGAAGATATGGGATGGAGGTGCTTACCAAGACAAACCACACCAGAGTTTTTAACTGCAATAACCGATCCTATCGGTAGATTTGCTAAGCCTGGATGGGAAAATAAAGTACCTCAAACTGCAGAAGAGTTTGAAAGTTACTGGTTGCGCTCAAAAGATTATCAAATACTACTCGATGAAATCAATGATTTTAACGAATCAATCAACGTAGATGAAGTAAGAAAAGAATACTATGAATCTGTTCAACAAGAAAAAATGAAGGGTGTTCGAAAGACTTCTCCATTTACTATATCTTACCTATATCAATTGAAGTTGTGTGCGAAAAGAAGTGCACAAAGAATATGGGGTGATAAAGCATATACAGTTACACTTTTAGGAGCTGGTGTAAGTCAAGCGTTTGTTGCTGGTTCCCTTTATTACAATACCCCAAACGACGTCTCTGGTGCTTTTTCAAGAGGTGGTGTCATCTTTTTTGCAGTATTGTTTATGTCGTTGATGGGTTTAGCAGAAATTTCAGCATCGTTCAGTAGTCGTCCTATTTTGATGAAACAAAAGAACTACTCAATGTACCACCCATCAGCCGATTCACTTGCCAATTTTGTTACATCAATTCCTGTGAGTATCTTTGTCAATATTTTTTTCGTTATTATTTTATACTTTTTGTCAAACTTGGCCAGAGAAGCGGGTAAGTTTTTCATTTGCTTTTTGTTTGTTGTGTTGCTACATATGACTATGGGATGCATGTTCCAAGCAGTAGCTGCGATCAACAAGACCGTTTCGGGAGCAAATGCTTTAGGAGGTGTTTTGATGTTGGCATCATTGATGTATTCTTCCTATATGATTCAAAGACCTTCTATGCATCCTTGGTTTAAGTGGATTTCGTATATCAACCCGGTTTTATATGCGTTTGAAGCAATCATTGCTTCAGAGTTTCATGGCCGTCATATGGAATGTACTGGCGAATATCTTACACCATCTGGTCCTGGGTACGAAAATTTAGCTCCCGGTGAACAAGTTTGTACTTTTATTGGCTCGGTACCAGGTCAAAGTTGGGTTTTGGGTGATGATTATTTGAGAATCGCATATACTTATAAATTTGATCACGTTTGGAGAAATTTGGGTATTGTTATTGGATTCTTGGCATTTTTTTTGGCGATTACATCACTAGGTACTGAATATATCAAACCAATAACAGGAGGAGGTGATAAGCTATTGTTTTTAAAGGGAAAAATTCCGGATCATGTGGTCTTATCTAAGGAGAAAAAGGAAGGAGACATTGAGCAGGGTCCAGCCATGGAGGATTTGGATGATCGCGAAGTTAAAATGAAACCCGATGATGCAGATTTAAAAACTAAGGATATATTCATTTGGAAGGATGTTGATTATGTGATTCCATACGACGGTAAGGAGCGTAAGTTGTTAGATAATGTGAGCGGATACTGTATTCCAGGCACATTAACAGCATTGATGGGAGAATCAGGTGCAGGAAAAACAACTTTATTAAATACATTGGCTCAGAGAATTGATTTTGGTGTTGTTACTGGTGACATGTTAGTGAATGGTAAAGATTTGGATTCTTCATTTAGTAGACGTACTGGTTATGTGCAACAACAGGATATTCACGTTTTGGAAGTAACAGTAAGAGAGTCATTACAGTTTGCAGCAAGAATGAGACGATCATTAACTGTTCCTGAAGCGGAAAAAATGGAATATGTGGAAAAGATTATTGATGTTTTGGACATGAGCACGTATGCAGATGCAATTGTTGGTAGACCTGGAAACGGGCTTAATGTTGAGCAAAGAAAGAAATTATCTATTGGTGTGGAATTAGTAGCTAAACCATCATTGTTGCTATTTCTTGATGAACCAACCTCTGGTTTGGACTCTCAATCAGCTTGGGCTATTGTTAAATTGTTGAGGGACTTGGCCAATGCCGGACAATCTATTTTATGTACCATCCATCAACCTTCAGCAACATTATTTGAGGAGTTTGATAGATTGCTATTGTTGAGAAAAGGTGGTCAAACCGTATACTTTGGTGATATAGGAGAAAAATCAAGAACAATTTTGGATTATTTTGAAAGGAATGGAGCAAGACACTGTGGAGATTCTGAAAATCCGGCAGAATACATTCTTGAGGCTATTGGTGCAGGTGCCACTGCTCTGACTACTGCTGATTGGTTTGAAATCTGGTCTAACTCTCCAGAAAAAGTTGAGTCAGACAAGAGGAGAGATCAGTTGATCAATGAGTTGAAAGAAAAGCCATCTGACTTGACAAAGGAAGAAGAAAAGGAACTAAAGGAGAAATTTGCAACACCATACTGGTACCAATTCCGCTGGGTTTGCGGTAGAACTGCGGTGACCTTTTTCCGTGATCCAGATTATATTGCCGCCAAGATCTTTTTAATGACCATATCGGGTTTGTTCATTGGTTTTACCTTTTTTGGTTTGAAACACACGAAAACTGGTGCACAAAATGGTATGTTTTGTTCCTTTTTAAGTGTTGTTGTTTCGGCACCAGTTATCAATCAAATTCAAGAAAAAGCCATTGGTAGTAGAGATTTGTTTGAGGTTCGAGAAAAATTGTCCAATACGTATAACTGGTCCTTGATGATTATATCCCAAATTTTGAATGAAATGCCTTACTTGTTGATTGGTGCGGCATTTATGTTTGTATCAGTATACTTTCCAACACAAGTAAATAGGCAGGCTGTGCAGTCGGGAATGTTTTATTTTACCCAAGGTATATTTTTACAAGGATTTGCGGCATCTTTTGGTTTGATGGTGCTTTATATTGCCCCCGATTTACAAAGTGCATCCGTTTTGGTCTCCTTTCTTTATACATTTGTGGTTGCATTTTCAGGTGTTGTGCAACCTGTAAAATTGATGCCAGGATTTTGGACTTTTATGAATAAGCTTTCACCATATACTTATTTCATACAAAACTTGGTTTCATCATTTTTACATAACAGAGAAATTCATTGTAATGAAAAAGAGTTGGCATTTTTTGATCCGCCTGCGGGCCAAACCTGTGCACAATTTGCTAGAGCCTTTATTGACCGTAAAGGTGGATATTTACTGAACCCAAGTGCTACAGCAAACTGTGGTTATTGTTCCTTCCGTAATGCTGACGAGTATTTATTAACAATTGGAGCCAAATTCTCGTACAGATGGAGGAATGTTGGATTCTTTTTTGCCTACATTTTTTTTAACATTTTATTCTGTATGGCACTTTATTACTTGTTACGTTTCAGCAAGCTAACAAGTAAAGCTACTGGTTTCCTTAATAAATTAATACCAAAGAAGAAAACATCATAAAAATAGACAGAGAATGTGTATATATATATATATATATGTGTGTGTGTGTGTGTGTGTGTGTGTGTGTGTGTGTGTATTTGTATTCGTATTAGAGATAGAGTTAATTCATAGGTTAAAGGAATTTAATAAAACAAATGGTACATTAATAGAAAGGAAAAAAGAACAAAAAAAAAAACAAAAAAACAAAATGGGCGTTAACATTAACAGCAAGAAGCAAAGACATCTCTTTAACTAGGTTTGATCAACTCAAATGAACAAAATAAGCTCTTGTCCACACTCATGATTGCGCCGAAATTATTGAATTCCCCACAATAATTTGGTGCACTGAAAATGGTCACTAGTTTTCTTTTGTTGAAAAATTCGTATCCGTCCTCTACAACCATATGGCCTCTAACAATCAAATCTAGTTTGAACTTTGAGCAAAAATAATCAACATGTTTCTTTCCGAAACAATACGAAACACCGCGATCATTTTTGGGCCAATTGGTTAATGAAAGATTCTTAACCAGTGCATCAGGATCTGACCATAATAAATCAGTCAACAAACCTTTATCCGGTACATCTGTAGGTCTCTTGATATCTTCAACTTGCTTGAAATTGTCCAATTCCGGTGACAATCCACCATGAACACAAAATATCTTATCATTGATTGTAGCTGCTATTGGCAAAACATTAAAAACATCAACAAAATTCCTCCACAATTTGGACACGCTCAATCTTCTCTTGCACTCGTCGTAAAAACCGTAAATCTTAGTGATGTTTGCCGACTCATGGTTACCCCTCAACATAAAGAAATTTTCGGGATACTTGATCTTGTAACAAAGTAATAATAAAATTGTTTCCAAAGATTTTTCCCCACGATCAACATAATCACCAAGAAATAGATAGTTGGAATGAGGAGGATAGCCACAGCAGTTGAATATTCTCACCAAGTCATGGAACTGTCCATGAATATCACCAACAATCTTGACGGGTGGAGAAAGTCGTAACAAGCTTGGTTGTTCCAAAAAGATTTGTCTACTCTTTCCCAAAATATACTTGATCTCATTGGTATCAACAACAAGTTTGTCCTTTGCTTTACGCGAAGGAGATCTCTTTTTGGTTGCTAGTAATCGTTCAATAATACTATCAATATCTACACCCGTCTTTTTGCTTGTAGGTATCAAAGGCGGCGAACTGGAAACAGACGATAGGCTCGCTGTTGTTTTTGTCTTGGTGACTTCTCTAACAGTCTTGTCGTGTTTTTTCAAGTTTTCTGTTGACAACTTCCTTGGTTCTGGAGATGTCTCTAAAGATTGGCTTTCCGCTATAGAGTCTAATTTTCCAAAAATCCCATCCTGGTGCTCCATACCTGGTAAATTTTTGCCACCGTTATTGGCAGTAGGACTAGATGAATTCAATGACAGTAGCAGGTCGCTATCCTTTAAATCATTACCAAGTGTAGTGAAAACCGGAGACAAAAATGACGCTTCCAGAGAGTCTAGGGAAGAAGAAGACACGTCTTGTTGATTCTTCAACAACTTTGCCATTGATATGCCTATTTCAACATCAAAATTGTTTGCTTCTGGGGAAACTCTGTATCTGCCCGCATGGTTAGTCGGTGTATTGCCAGTTTTTGCAAAACTGCCTTTTCTTCTACCGCCACTACCGTAGCTTTGGCTGATCTCTATAGCAGGAGAAACAGCATGCTCACTTCTCTTGGAATGTTTGTACTGGGAATAGTCATTATTAACGTAATCGTTCTGAGTATTCTTTAAATCCTTAGTCTTGTTTATTGCAGTTGGGTGAGATAGCGCAGGCGCTATATCATCTGAGTCTAAGTCGGTATTATCACCATTGGCGTCAGTGTTGCTGTTTGCTGATATTGTTGTTGTACTTGATGAGGACTTCGGTAGGGGTTCATTTTTTGACGGGCTATTTCCCATTTGATGTCAATGTGAAGTAACAGCTAAGAACAAAAAAAAGAAAGAAAGAAAGTAAGGAAGGAAGGAAAATCGATTATCAGGTATGTATCCCCAAAGTGATGTGATGTGCTATTTTATATAAGGCTAAAAAGAAAAATATTGGTGGTACTGATATGAAAGAAATTGTAATTAATCGGTCAACCAAGAAAAAAAAAAAAAGGAATAAAAAAGTGGCTTCCTGGCACACTACACTATAATGAAAAAAAAACGGGATATTAGAGATATACGTTTTTTTAGTATGTATGTACTGATCTGATCTGATATTCCTAACCTCTTCTTTCTAGAAAGAAGAGTCGAAAACTACTACTACTACTACCATTATTGCTGAGTATAAGCTTTGTATTTCCATTGTAAATTATTCAAACCTTGACCCGTAGAAAGTTTTGGGGTTAATACACACTGTCGTGTGCTTACAGGTGAAAAAGGGGTGGCGGTGAGGGGGGGGGGGGGAACATCTCCTTATCTCGCAATCATCTTTTTAGAGATGACAGTATATTGTTCTTGGTTTTTTTTTTTGTTTTTTTTCTCCTTTGTTCTTTCTTTCTGCAGTATCAGAACCCAACTATTTTCCGAGACCAGCACATTCTAGATTTGAGTTTGGACTTTGACTCCACATTCTGCATTGTAACAACAGGATGGGTTTTCAGTTCCTGGCTTTGCAAAAGAAGTTGTTCGAGGTAAAGCTATCAAGAAAAGACAATTTACAATTTTTGTTGCGTCTATTGAGTAGACCCAATATCCCTCTCCGTAAAAGGGGTTTACTTAAAAAGTTGAAAGGTTGTGACACGAAACCCATCATTTCGGCTTTTTTAAACGATCTTTATATAGTTGTAATTGCTTAAAATCAATTCAAACTTGGCTAATAATGGAATGTTGCATCTTTTTCATCTTTTTTTTTTTGCTTCGTTTTTACGAAAAAAGAATAGTAGAGATAAGATAAGGTCTAATGTATAGTTGAAATTTCTTATTTCGAATTTATACTTTGTAGTTATAGCTCATACTTTGCAAAATGAGTTATACTTTGCAAAACGAGCTATACTTTGTAGTTAAAGCTCATACTTTGCAAAACGAGTTATACTTTTTCAGGTACATTACAGACCCATCACACAGTATTATTTGAATGAAAAGCTCAAGACTAGAAATGGTAAATGAGGAGAGACTTCCCTCATCCAGGAAAGACAAACGATGACTCAAACGACTAAAAAACAAAGAACTGACTCTTATACTCAAAAGTTTATTTCCTTCCTCCCTCGCTGTCCCCAACAACTTGAAAATTATAGGTATTTGACGGAAACTATACGAGCTTGGTAGAGTAGTCTTTAACCCCTTAATATGTACTCCGCGCTAAGAAAACATCCGAAGCTTGTATGCACTTCTTGTGTGTCTTGTGTTGTATAGTGTTGCGTCGTGTGTGAGTATATGCAAGTTGCTAGTAATTGTTATATTTGTGCGGGAGCAATTTTTGAAAATTCTAAATTTCTTGTTAGAGAAAGGAACCCGAATCTATGTGGTCTAATCTTTTTATACGAGCACAACCACTAGCACAAACACAGCGCTATACTTTGATTCCTCTAAGAAAGAAAATGTCCGTGACTACTCAGATAAAGCCTATTAGAACGGCGGGAATTCTCATCATCGGTGATGAAATTTTGAATGGGAAAATACAAGACACGAATTCATACAACTTTGCTCGCTTTTGCTTTAATGAGCTATCAGTTCCTCTTAAAAGAATCCTTGTTTGTGGTGATGATTCTAGCGATATAAAGGACGCTTTGGATATGCTATTAAAGGAAGATAAAGTCGATCTTTTAATTACTTCGGGTGGTTTAGGAAGCACGCACGATGATATTACGTATGAGGTGCTAGCCGACTATTTTGATTTGGATTACAAACTAAACCAACAGGTGGTGGACAAAATGCAACTTTTAAGAAAAGACTATTTGTCCAAATTAAGTAGCGACCAGTTGAATGCATATTATAGAATGGCAACGTTACCTGTCGCTCAGGACAATAGCAAGATTTCAACTAATGTATTATTCCTTGATGAAGAGCTATGGTTCCCATTACTAGAAATTGATCAGAAAGTCTATGTCTTACCAGGAATTCCTCAAATTTTCACTCAATTGTTGAAGTACATGGCAGGGTTTTTGAAAAAAAGAATAGTGCCTGCAGACTTTTGTCGAAGATACGTTCTAACAAAATCAGGAGAGTCACAGCTTGCTCCATATCTCACCAATCTACAAGAAAAATGCTCGAAAGAATTTGGAGAAGGTACAGTTAAGCTAGGAAGCTACCCACACATGGCAATGCGCGTAAACACAATCAGTATTATTGGCAAGGATGTAAAAGATAAACTGAAATTAGATGCTATTGTCAAGGACATAATAGATAACATAGGAGGTGATGCAAGAGAAATATCACAAGAGGAAGAAAACACTTTAAAATAGACTAGACTTGTGTCCCGTGAGTTTCGTCACACATTCTACTCCTCTTTCTTCGCTTGCACATCCACCTTATAGAATTCTATAGACAAAGCAGCATTATCAAGGGAGGGAGAGAAAGAAAGAGAGAGACAGAGAAAGAAAGCGAGAGAGAGAGAAAGAAAGCGAGAGAGAGAGAGAAAGAAGGGGAGAGAGAGAGAGAAAGAAGGGGGGAGAGAGAGAGCATGAATTTCAGAGAAATTACAAGCTTCATGAACAAGCAAAATAACAAGTTACAACTGAATCTGTGTATAAATCGTATCTGCCACAGATCAAAAGGTTATGAAATAGTTGTGCTATCATCATTGTGGGAAAAAATGCAAATCATGGGCCTACGGCGTAAGAAAATGACGTCGGGTTTGTTATTGAGCCAATGATATTTGTTTTTTGACTTTAGCTTTTCCCACTGTATCCCCCAGTGTCAGCAGAACCGAAGTATTGTGTGCGGGTGCGTGCATGTCTAACATACGCATTTACAGTTTTCATTGCACAATAACAAACTAGAATCTGACTCAGTAGGGAATACTTTTTTGCTTTCTTATCTGGCTTTTGCCGATGAACTATAACAGGTGATGGTCATGGGCATATGTTATCCCGTTTTATATGAACAATGCAGACGCAAGAACAATCACCCTTAATTACAGCGCGTTTCATTTTAATATCATTTGATGGGGTAAAAGGTGGAAGAGTTACATCACAACCAATCGGTATGCGCCTGGCAACATTCTTCTTTTGATCATAAATACAAAAGACTCGCCACCACAATCACATCTGCAAATGTGACCCACTAAAAAGGATAGTTTAGTCCCGAAGGGATGTGGTAGGCTCAACTACTAGTAATGTCCCACGAACTCTATATACATTTTTCGCCTACACTACTCTCTAATATACGATGCAGAATAACTTTCACGCCTTTTACCAAAATGTAACAAATAAGCAATGCACTCTAACTGGAATGACAAGCTCATACCAGTCTTATGTTCATGCTAGTTTCAAATATTGTGAAAAACGGTGTAACCTTTCCACCCGTCCCTCAAAAAACTAACTATTTTACCGAAATCCTAACATACTCATGCGCAAATAAATCCCTTTTCGAAACCTCTCACAACCAAAGATACGCTTTAAACTTGAATTTACAATACTAGCATCTTTACAACTTGCACCAACCTATTCTAAAAAAATGTTCACAGCCATAATGCCATTAGCAACAATATAAATTGACCTCCCTGTTATTCCAAGAACAAGCAAACAAAACAAGCTGGAATAAATAATCAGTTCAAGAACAGGTTTCGACGACCCTAAATCTTCATTTAGCCCACCCATCTAACTCACCCGCGTCATTCCATGATGCAAAATGAAGCAAAAACAAACCTGAAAAAAGGGTAAACTATCAACTAAACTACCCATTTTCCTCCAACAGCAAAAGAATCAATTGAATATAACACAACATAAGTTTCAGAATAAAACTGATAATAAACAACCCAGAAACCACTACATTCCTGCTGCCCAATCCATTACTTATTAAAGTTAGTTGTATAAGTACCTTTGTTTGCACTGACACTAAATAACAAGATTGTCCCAAACTAAATGATATAGCAAACAATTAACTATCATCACTCGTGACACTACCTAGATATCATTATAAATTCGGGAAATTATCCATGGTTTCTCAACACGCTCTCGCTACAACACATCATAATTTACTAATTAAAAACAATTCAAGAGCTCTATAAAGTTGTAAGATATTATGGGACATACGACAATATTCCGCTTGATACTTTTCTAAAAACAAATGGAACTGAAATGTTGCAAACATTACATTGTTTCCAGTTTGCAAGTTTTATGTAGAAAATTAAACATCGATCATGCGACAATTTTGCATTAATGGGACTTTGTTTTGGGTATAGTAAACAAGGCTGTTTACAAACATTTATCTTAATTTACGTTTAGTAGTCGAACCGGAATGTAAATTTGGTATTATATAGATTTTCGAAAAGAGTTGCAAGGTAACTATCATAATTATTTTTTTGTTTACGCAACATATCACTATCATAGACTCATTTTAATACCTGTTCATTGTTTGTTGCTAGTTATATTTATTTTGGTGTGCTCGCGTATTCATCTTTCGGACGGTACAAAAAATTGAAGAATGTTTGATTTTGTTTGTTGTTTACCCTTACTTTTTTACATAAGCTGTGTGTGTTTTTGTTCACAATATGGTTACAGACAATTGCTGATTTCTATGCTTAGTGTGGTTATGTTTTCTCATTCTCAAAAGTGGTTTTAGGAAATTTATGTAATATGTATTAGTGAGAGCGCTATGCGCGTGAGATTTGCTTAGATATTGGTATACCCATGGTATGACAGATCCTTAAATTTGATAAACACCTGAATTTTTGTAGTGCTCAATAATTGGTCATTTGACCGTGTATTGAGATATACCGTTTACTGATTTTAATTCGATTGGTACTTTCATAATTTGTGGTTTTTCCATATGCCTTTGGCTACATTCTAGAATAGTCATAATTTTTATCCTATGGTTATAATAGAGTTTGAGTAGTGTTATGTATTTCGTTAATCCAGGTGTCATAGATTTAGTTTTTTGTGCGATTTGTAGGAAATTGGATTTGAAACTTAGTTGGAAAAGTATTGTAGTTTTGTCGTCATCGTACTAGCTGAGTTGGTGAACATTTTCTCATATATAAGCCTCATTGGGTAGCTTTTATTGACAAGAATGGTTTAGTTGTTTATGTGACAGAGTTTTGTGCGAGAAATTTAGCTACATGATGTGGGGATGTGAAGGTATGTTATTTTCCGTATATAGAAGCAGTTGTCTGAAGCATTATTCTGTAGTTTTGTTTGTAAATCATTATTGTTATTTGGCAGCCGGTTTTACTTGTGTTACTTTTTACTTTGAAATCTAGCGATAGAGAAGGAGGTATTGAGATATGTTCAGTAAAGGATAAGCACAATGCATATAATATTAAAGTTTACTCAGAGATTGAACTTATTATCCATTCAGAAAATCAAGGCCACAAGCAAGCTACTTTGTTGGAGATACTTTACGGAGAGACAACTGCAAAGCCCAGGGCATGTTTTCTTTTCAAGGCTACTGCAGCGATTTCACCCTGAAGAACCGATTTTGAGCCATCTAGAAATTTTGTAGTATTCTGGTTTGTTTGAAACTAACTCATAGGTCGATTCATGAAATTATTTGATCATGAACCAGGAAAATTTGCGGTTATTAATGTGTCCAATTTTTTGGGCCGAAAATACACATTAGGATGCTAATTTGTTTGTGTCTTTCTTGTACAATTTGGGGAATTGCAAGCTCTAGCGTTTGTAGTTTTTTTAGTTTGAGCGTGAGCTGTTCAAGGTTGCAACATTTGTATGTCTACCACTGTTGCTTCATGGATCGTTGGTAATGATTTCAATTAATTTGTGCTCTTCTTATGCTGTGATAAATGCCCATTTCGTATACAATCTCTGGCTATAGCCACGAATGGTATGGACTGTATATGCTTAGGTTTACTATTTGCAATCACAATAAAGGGGTAGTAACAGGGTATCAGTATTGATATTCGTAGGTTGTTGGAACCGAGAAAAGTGTTGTATTTATAGCAAGGTCAAAAAGTGTATAGGAAATGGTTTGTTCATAAACAAGGTACATTGCAACGACTCTGTTCTTTCTTGGCTTTTCGCTTTTTCGAGTTGAAATTCAAGTGTGAGATTGCCTTAAAGTATAAAGTTCAGCTTTTTTTATGCAAGATTGGTTTCTTTAAGCTGTTGGGTATGCAAATTATAGTCTCATGGCAACTTGGTTGAAACCACCATCTGGTGTATTTCTAATCTTCATTCTGGCATCTCGCAACATGATGTTTAATGAAAGAACGCTTTGAAAGTTACCCAAATGAATTTCAGATAAAGGTTGTGTATAGTCGCGAAAGTAGGAAAAGACTCTCTCTCTCTCTATCTCCTTCTCTCTCCTTCTCTCTCTCTCTCTCTCTCTCTCTCTCTCTCTCTCTCTCTCCTTCTGTCTCTCTCTCTCTCTCCTTCTGTCTCTCTCTCTCTCTCCTTCTGTCTCTCTCTCTCTCTCCTTCTGTCTCTCTCTCTCTCTCCTTCTGTCTCTCTCTCTCTCTCCTTCTGTCTCTCTCTCTCTCTTGATTACATGTTGAGATTGTTTCCCAAATGTCACTAATTATTCTGTGCTTTTCAATCAGGAACATCCCTTCAATCTACCAATTGTGTTTTCCAAATTAATAGACTACCCATGTACCTCGCATGAGGAAATTTCTAACCCATTTTCTTTTGTTCATTTCGTTTCCTTGGTACTTCCACGCGAATTGACTCGTTAGACAGATCTCTTGGTCAACTAATAAGAAGGCAAATCAATGTTTTCAGATTGCATCCCACGATACATGATGTATAATGTATAAACACAATCTATTCATAAAATACGAGATGAAAAAAAATAGAAAAATGTCAAGACAAAGTCCGGGGTATTCGCTCGAAACCGGAACAAAGGAAATATTGAAAATATTGATTCTTCCTCATTTTTCCGTAGATGAACGATTGCAAAAAAAAAAAAAAAAAAAAAAAAAAAAAAAAAAAAAAAAAAAAAAAAAAAAAAAAAAAAAAAACAATAGGATACAAGTACAAAACAAAGCAGGGTCTGCTTTGGGAGTGAAGTAGAATCAATTCAGATATTGTGGATTCAATGGCGGGTGATAGGTTAAAGGTTCAATACCCGTATGTATTATATGTCTTACACAAGAGAAGTGAAACTGCAATGCAATACTAACTTGAATTTTTTTTTTTTAAGGTTTTGGTATGGTGGAGCATCTAGTATGGCAGCATGTTTGGTAACTCATCCGTTGGACCTAGCCAAGGTTCGTTTGCAAACAGCGCTGACGCCCGGTCAGTCTTTAATTTCCATGATTTACCAAATCATAGTCAAGGAAGGCTTTTTTAAAGTATATTCTGGTTTAACTGCCTCTCTCTTGCGACAAGCAACATATTCAACCACTCGATTTGGTGTTTATGAGTTCTTGAAGGAATATTACGTTAAAGTTACAGAAACCTCCAAGCCAAGTATGGGCATTCTATTACCAATATCGATGGTGTCTGGAGCATTGGGTGGACTTGTGGGAAATCCGTCCGATGTTGTTAATATTCGAATGCAAAATGATTCTACATTGCCTCGAGAGTTACGAAGAAACTATCGAAATGCTTTTGATGGGTTGTATAAGGTCTGTAAAAATGAGGGTGTCGGATCGTTATTTAGGGGGTTGTCGCCCAATCTAGTACGAGGAGTCCTTATGACCGCTTCTCAAGTGGTGACCTATGATGGTGCCAAAAATGTATTAATTGACCTATTACATATGGACCCTTCAAAAAAGTCTACTCACTTTAGTGCATCCTTACTTGCTGGTTTAGTGGCCACAACAGTTTGCTCTCCAGCGGACGTTGTAAAGACTCGAATAATGAACAGTAAGGGTACCGGCAAAAGTGCATTTTCAATATTAAGATCGGCTGTGCAAAACGAAGGAATCGGGTTTATGTTTCGAGGGTGGGTTCCTTCGTTCATTAGGTTGGGTCCACACACAATAGTCACATTCTTGGTGTTGGAGCAGTTGAGAAAATTTAAAATTGCAATGTAAACATAGAGCAAAGTTAGAGTACAGTCAGAGCACATTTAAAAGTTTATATATACAAATATATTCGTTTATTATAGACATATATTCATAGTTGTTGCTTGGTCTTCCTTTGTTTTGTAACAATTGTCTTCCTTTAACTCTTATCTAACCTCACGTGGTAATAAATTGATCTTCTCCTTTTAAACAAAAAAATAACAAAAGACTCAGGCCTTCACTTCGATGTTGTCCAATTCAGCTCTCTCAAACGCCTCTTTCTCTGCTTCCAAGATGTATGGCACCAAGTAGTGATCGTCCTCCTCGGGTTTGACGGCTTTTTCTGGTGGTAAAAGTTGATGTGACAAAGCTAATTGATGTGCAGTAAGAAGTCTGTAATTTCTAGAGTAACTCAATGATGGTGGTAATCTCTTGAGGGCTGTCTGCATAACAGGGTTTTCTTCCATGATGATATCGTTAAATCTAAATCTAGTTAGTACTTGTAATACGTATACATATGTGACCATAAAAAAAAAAACATACTTCAATCCCATCTCCCTATATCCAGCATAAGCGGTGAATTTTTTAGCAATAGGAACCACTATCTTGGCTAATGTGGGTCTGGACAAGATAAAGTTTGCCGCCTTGACGACGGAGGTCATTGACAGCATGCTTAAATATCAGATTGTTAAGGGTACCTTGAGCTCAATTTTTGCTTTCTCCTTTAAGTTTTTTAATCTCTTTTTTTTTTTTTTTGTTCTCTCTATAATCGAATTTCTTAGCAACATTATTGGCTATTTCTCTAACCAATTTGTCAACCTAAAGTGCGAATAAGTGCGGCTTGGGCTGAAGTAAGGTGGTACACAACTAACCACACATTTTTGTAAAGATAACTTTCTGTTACTTTTGGAGGAATAATATAAAGTGTCAATGTTTCAGGATGAAACTTTGAGGTAGATACTTCAGTTATACCGATAAAAACAAGTTACTGCAATTATGGCACTGTTTGCATTCTTTATATATTAATATGTATGTATGTATATATATATCTTTGAACCTAGGTTTAAAGTGAAAATAAATCTGTACAAAGAGTTTATTGGATCTATTCTATTACCATATCTTTAATAATGATATTCGTCTTCTGGGATATCAGTGGTGTTGGGGAAACCTACTGCTCGTAAAATATCTAGGGGCCCCTTCTGCTTCACCATCTCGAATAACTCTTCATTTTTGCACAAAATAAGTCCTTGAAAACCGCACGAGTTAATTCCGAGCTTCCCCTCGTACTTTGCAGTTGCACGTGGAACCATTAGCATATAAGAAGGGGTCATAATAAAGTTGTATGAAATTTGTTTTTGCTCATTTGATCTGAGCACTGTTAATGTACGCTGCAAAAGGGCTGTAAACGAAGTTGCCAATACGTTCTCGTCGACATGTGATTCATCTGGTAGTTTGATCAAGAAATGCGCAAAAGGTAAGTTATTACTTTGAAATGGCTTGCTTTTAGCAGAAACAGTTTCGGCTTGAAGGGCTAGCGTCTCTGCGTAGGGCTTGAACTGCATAGATGGAGGAGGTTGAATCATGAATTGAATATGCTTATGAGGTTGTGAGGCTCCGCTCTCAGGTCCGCAATTAAAAAAGGCAAACCACTCAGAGTTATTTCTCTTTGACTTTTCAACAACCTTGCTCAATATTTTGTACGATGCAAATAGCTCCGCTGGAGATAAGGGAGAATTTTGTGACTGGAATTCTTTGGTAACCAATAGGAAATGCAATGGCACAACAGGAAATTTGTTGAAAACTACCCGGAACTCTTTGTTTGGGCCGTAGTTATTGAGAATAGTGAGTTCGGGCTCTGGTTTCTCGAATGGGTTTGATTCACGGTCTCCTTGCTCTGGCTTGTGAGCTAAAGAGGTGAGCAATGTCAATTGAAAATCTATGGTCAATTCGCTAGCTTTGACTTTCACAAGTTCATTTACGGCAGCGTCTCCATTGAATAAAATGTGGTTATTCTTCACCGCTTGTTCATATTTCTCATTTAAAGTTTCGTAGAAATCTTCGGGTATATCGAATGAATCCATTTAGCTTGGAAAGTCCGTGGTTTTATTGTTTTCTGAGATGTAGTTTGTTTTCGGAGAAGAGAATGCGAGAAAGAACGAAGGAAAAAAAAAAATAAAAAAAAATAAAAAAGTTTGAAGGTTTTGAAGATGGAGGTTATAGTGTGGTTTTAAAGTCAAATCACGTATTCTTTAACTTGTACCTTCTCAGTTCCGCTTTTAGTTATGCAATTCAGTTATCAGTTACTTTTCTTTGTAGAGCAGGTGTTTTTGTTTGTATAATCCGACTTCTTAGCAAATTAAACAATTTTAAAAAGAAAATTTCGCATTATATCTTGACAAACATTTTGTTTCATATCCTGAAAATATGTACGAGATATACATTTGAATTGTATTTCACACCCATCTACTCTTTCATCTTGTTTCTTTCTTCCCTCAGTGTGTCTCAATATATTACCTAAGACTTTCTTGCAACTCCTCTCTCTATTTCTTTAAAAGATTTGCAATCACAAAAATGGAATTAAGAGGTCCTCCCATTTCGTTATTATAGATCTCTAGTGTCCGTTTTTTTTTTTTTATTTTTTTTTATTTCGCAGCCAAATTGTGCACACAAAACTCACTTCGTATTTTGCAAAAATAAAAAAGATTAAAAAAATAAAAAAAAAAAAAAAAAAAAGGTAAAATAAAAAGCCAGACCCCCATCAAATATTTTGAAAAGTCGAGTTGATTCGTTGTTTTTATGAAATGAGTGTTTGTTAAATCCTCATGGAAACTCAAAAAAGCTCCAAGAATGATACAAGAGATCGTTTACTATCTTTGGATAGGATCAAAAGTAGTGAGCCTGTGACACGATTGTTGTTGTCAGAAGATACTTCTTATCAATATCTGGAGGACACCTTGAGGCAAATTTTTGCCATTGCATTTGATACCAGCAAGGATTCTCTAAGCGACACAGATAAGCATGGGTTAATTAAGCTCTGTCTTCGACCTTCGGGCAAAATAACACCTAGAATATTTTTAAGGATTATCAGTAAACTTGGACCTCTACAATTTAGGATTTGCAAGGACAAGTTATTTACTGGGAATAAACTACCTCTAGCGTTGCAGCTTGATATTGCTGAGTGGATGTCCGACGAATTTGAACGTTTCCCCGAAAACATACTTAAGTTCAGTAAAATAGCATTACCGATTCTTGAAAAGCTTCTGTCATTTAAGCATTTACAAGGTCCAATGGACCGAGCAATTAGCCTGATCCTTAATCACGAAAAGAGTCAACTGCAAGGAATACAACCTTTAAAAAGGAAACTGCTAAATTCCGGAAAACCGTACACTTTTGAATATTTGCTGAATGCCATGACATGCAATTTTCAGGTCAATGAAGATAATCTCAATAAGAAAAGAAAAATTGTATGTTCGAACCTGCCAAATGGCGATACCTTTAGTCTTGAAGACTTTTTTTCCAATGACATGATACCCGCGAGTCTGTATAGGAAGTTGACAGCTCTTTTCATTACAAATGAACAGGATCGTCATCTTTTTGAGCAGCATGTTAGAAACCTTTTTGAAGATCTTTTAAAAGACGAGAGAGAGCTACCCCCGTCAATAGAAGAAAAGTTGATAAGCATTTTCGCATATAGCAGTGGAGCAATTTCCTTTCCTCACATAAGAAAACTAATTGCAACTGTCGACTCAGATGAGAGCATTTGGGCAAGGAAACTACCGTATCGCTGTAAATTGTTCAAATTTCTCAATATCAAAGAGGTAGAATTCACTAATATGCTCCAATCCGACTGTGAGCATTTGATAAATACTTTTCTTAGAAATCCAGATGTTGGACTGAAGACTTGTGACTTATATGTGGACAGTATTTTGCCACTTATGATTGCGTCAACGACCAACGAGCCTACTAGTCGTGTGGAAAACAGCTTAATTCCTACTATTTTGGAATTGATTCAATTCTGCAGTAGTAAGCTGAAACTAATTTTGACCTCAAGAGTGCTCATGCTTGTTCAAAGATATCGAGATCTAAACATGTTTAATGAAGAAAACATTGCTATTCCTTTGCCGAGGTCGTTGGCGTACTCCTATTTATTCCTGTGCGATATTAACCATTTGGATGCCGTGTGTGCAAATTTCTCTTCAAATAAACGGTTAAACTTTGAGAGTGATGCATTAAAAGCAGTTCAAAATTCCTATATCATGGATACGATAAACCTGTTATGGAGAAACAAATTTTTTGGTTATGATTCCAAAATGAATTCTGCACAGAGGGCGTTCTTTCTATTTCCATTATTGCCTAAACTTCAAGACACAAGCTTCTCGGAAAGGTGCTTAACACTCAAAAACTGCGGAGCTTTATTTGTTAACCCGGCATCTGCATTTATCGCAATAAAAATCCTTCGCACCTTGGAAGATAGGAAGGAGTCTTTAAGTGTACGGCATGAGGGACCAGTAACCGAAGAGAGTATCAATGCTATTCAACAAAATCCTACTAATTGCTGGCTTACTATAACTGCAAACGAAATCAAGGTGCTGGTACTTCGAGACCTCGACAGCAGAAACTTCAAAGGGATTTGCGATCTTGTATTCAATTCGCTCAAATCTTTATCAGGGAAAAGAAAAAGTGTTGTATAAGAGAAGAAGCATATATGTAAGCAAGATAAAATCAATATCAAAGAGACTCCCCCCCCCAAAAAAAAAAAAAAAAAAAAAAAAAAAAAGCATATAAATTTCAATAATAATTGTTCTACAACGAAAATGACTTGACTCGAGACTCTCACTTTCTCATCCTCCTTCCTTGTTCAACCGTAACATCAGCCTCTCCTCTACTCCAAAAACCTCAGTGTCGTCGGTATCGTAATACGATAGAGCAGGGTTCTTGAGACCACTTACTGGGTCTTCGAGGGCAGCCTTGTCTATCTCCTTGATTAACTTGATCATGCTATTTTCTCCGTAATTGACACCATATGACGCGCTAATTGGTATAACACCCTGCACCCAAGCATCAACAATTCTTGCTCTCTGTTTAGTGCCTAGTCTTGAAATAGGAAACTCGCCCTTTTTGATAAAACCAACAATATCAATGATGAGATGATGCTTACTGAGCACAGTGTTGATAATTAATGGAACCAAAGAAGCAAAATATCGAGTACGTTTAGACTCACATACCACCACGGTATAGTCGGCACATCTGAATACACATGACCCGTTTTTGTAGATATCTGCATGACAATACTCTATGGTGTTTTCTATATCAATAGGAAAATGATGTAAACCCATCACTTCAAAAGTGTCTGCAATTTTTCCCAATATGAAAAGTGGCTGGAATGAAGACACATCCTGCTGTCCATTATTGCGGGAATTATTTTTGGTAATCGAGACGTTATGCAAAAAGCCCAAATCACCAGTACGCAAGTATGTTACTTCTGGGTTACCATCTGCTATAACCCCATTAAACTGCACCAGACTGAAATGGTCAATAGGTCCCTTTGGTCCATTTGTGAAGGAGCTCAAATTTGCTTCCGAACACACCCATATTTCACCATATTCACCTTCTTTACATATTTTTCTTGTTTCAGGATTCACAATTGCCACCTCAGTACAAACGGGAACCATTCCAGAATCTTGAATATGTAGCGCATTTGGTACTTCTTCTTGGTTCACCACAGAAATGTAACCTTGTCTTAAGGCAATAGGATCCAAAAACAAGTCAACTGGTGCAACCGTCATATAGGATCTAGTTGATATCATCGGATTGAAGTAATGGCTATAAACAGTGGACATAGATGCTGCGCTTAATTTGGTAGGCTGAAACACTTTGGAAATTTTCCTCAACAAGTCCACTTCAATTCTACTTTCTGTACTAATCATCATATTTTTCAATGGTGACAAGTTGAAACCTGTTGGTGCAAATTTGATTGCAGCATATTTAAGCATTTGTTCAGTAACAAACACATCCTTAACCTTGTACCTAGCAAGTGTTAAGAAAAATGATAGTGGATTCTCAGCATAAGTTACAGGCGAGCTTAAATAAGTGGTGGTTCCCAAGAACACACCTAGCAAACACGTTTGAACAAACCCAATACCAACAGCATGTCTCACACAACCCACGATTGACGAGTTTGAGTTGAGGTTACAAGTCTCCTTGAAAACTTTGCAAATCCCGATTATGTTCTTGTGGCTTAGCGTAGCACCGACACGGTAATGATCAGATGTAAAGTTTAACCAAACCATAGCTGTTTTGTTTTCATCTACTGCGCGCTTCAGTGATCCTTGATTGAGTTTTGCTGTTAAAGATGACAAGTTGGAAACCTTGCTTAGTTTCGTTGTATTTTTTATCCTTAAAGACTTTACTTTCTTGTGAGTCACTTTCTTGAGGGAATCTGCAATTGGACCATTTTTCAAAAACTTTTCTACTTCATCATTGACTAAAATTTCTGATATATCAAAGTCTCGAATGACTCCAATAAAGGCTGGGAAGTCCTCGCCAATCCTATTGGAATCAAAGGGCAACATTGGAATAGGTATTATGCCACAAATCAAACACGCATAAACAGCAACAACAAAATCCTCAGAAAGTGAGTACATCAAAATAACATATTGATCAGCCCGTAAATTGGTCTTTTCAAGTAAATATTGACACATTGCATATACTTTGTGTTCAAATTTTTTCCAAGTCAACGGTTTATTCTTGCCGCTCGCATCCACGCTGTGGAATGCAACGGAGTCTCCTAATTTCGAAACCCGGAACTTCATAATGTCCTGAATTGTTTTAAAATCCGTCAACACAACTCCAGTCTTTTCGTCACTAGATTTTGCTCTATAATCTATATTTGAGTACTGATCCGGAAAATTGTGTAAGGCTTTGTTTCTGAGTTCCGATACGTATGGCGACCAAATACCCCCAATCACATCTTCCCCATGCGGTATCAAGCTAATTGACTTTCTTACAAAAAACTTGACAAATTCTGCTCGCAACGTTCCTTCCAAAAATTTCTTTTTGCACAACATATTGGCTATTTCTCGACCGCCACTCCTCATGATCTTTGGCAACGTGTCACAATCAACAACTAAAACACAATATAGTCTTAAATGATGACGTTTATAAAGCGTGTCAAAACACTGTTGTGCAATGGCATTGAGAACAGGTTCATTTAATGGAGCACCACTCCCATAATCAGCTTCACTATTTTTCAATTTGGTACCTCCCCCTCCTCCGTTTGCATTTTCCGCGTCGTTCAGGTCGTCAAACTGTTTACGTATAACCTCAGCCTCAACAATAGCCACAGGGAGATACTCGTTTCCAATGAATATGTCAAATATTGTGCAATCGTATAATTGTTTGACCTCGCTAGCCAAAGTTGCCAACAAGTGAGATGAGTAATGATACCGGGAGCTCAATCCTTCCACTTGAGGTTTGTTCAATTTTTTGAATAAAGCTTGATCAATCCAACTTACTCTCTGTCTAATTCTATCTTCATAAAGACCCAACACGTAAACTTTGCCGTTATATACAAACCCCAATAATCCTGTCCTCAAAAAATCCATCTCCAAAGGGCCATTTGGACCTCTACATTTTGCATGGAATATCAGTTTTGATTCTTTACGTAGTCCGTAGAATCCACCAGAAAGACAAGGACTATCGATCCATATTTCACCCAATTCTCCCTTTTGTACTAAAGTCGACAGCTCGGGATTTACAACAGCTAAAGTTGCATCAGGAAGCGGGTACCCAAAAGCATCAACACGCAAAAGTTCATTGCTAACGTCATCCGAAGTGGATGGGTTTGTTTCAACAATCTTTACAAGATTTTGACTCAATGCGTCCTTATCTATAAGTACTGATGACAAATCATTGGATTCTTCTTCGTTGACGTTAATTCCCAAACGGTCATTTGTTCCTAACCAGTCTCTTAGAGATATAACCATTCCTCCATATTCACTCAAAGTGAGCATAGGAATAATGGCGTTTTCAGGATGTTGACAACCCAAAGGTCGGAGGTATCTTTGCGACAAAATTTCCATAAACTCACCATCAATAGTTAATGCATTAACAAGCACCCATTTCACTGAAGAAAAGTCCACCCTTGTGGTTTTTGAGAAATACCTCGTTGCACTAGGCGACTGCTGATAATCATATGTCACTCTTTTCAATCCCAAATAGTCTGCAAGGAGAAGGGAAGCACGACATTTGGTGATAATATTGGCATATAAACCTTGTATCTCCATTACTCTTTGTGGTGCCCAGAACAACACATTCCCAGTGTAAACAGTAAACAATACCCCTAAAATGAGCCCAATGGAGAACCTCACATCCAAGGTAGCAAGAACAACTTTTTTGTTCCCTTTATAACTCTTGAAGCTTCGGCACAAACCACCTCCAGAGTCCGGAAGACTCAGAAGAGCCTTATCAAGACAAAACATTTGCTGGGAAATAGTCTTATGGCTCAAAGCTATACCTCTCAACTCTCCAACTGGTGACCTTGAAAATTCAATATATGCAAGGTTCATATTCGACATCTTTTCATTTGTATGCAGTCGCCTTGAGGTCCAGTATGATATTTCCGATTTCTTAGCTGACCCAAGATCTGTTGTTCGCCAGCGTAAAAGTTTTGAGGGCCACTGAATCCTCAGACTCTGGGCGTTGAGCCTATCGAGTTCCTTTGCCACAGTTTCTGAGTAAAGCAACAACTTTGAGGATGTCAAATTTAGTATACCCATAACCTCTGTCAAGGAAATATCCTGGTGTATTGGTATCGCAGTTACTCCTGCAATGAAGCAACCAAACAATGCGGTTACAAACTCCACCACTTCTCCATCTTTGTAAAGTAAAACAACCGTGTCGCTGTTTTTCATAGATACTCTATGGTGAATCTCGTGTGCTATTTTCACTGACTTGAGGTATATTTTCTCCCAGGTTATTGAGCTCATTTCTTTGCTCTTTGAGTCCAAAACAACAAATGCCAAATCGGTCTTGTAAAGGGTGGCTCTTGAAGCCAAGATGTCAACAAAATCATTAGTGATTTTACCTTTTGACGATGATGATGATGATGATGCAGCAGCAGCAGCAGCAGCAGCAGCATTGGTGGTGGAGATCCGCGGCTTCAAAGGTAACTCCAATTTAGATGGATCCAACGGGAAATAGTCCCGTTGGTTTTGTTGGTGTAGCTTATTTATCGACTGAAGTATTGCTTCTCTTCGGTTGATATAGTTCCATTGATCGATTGTTTTATTGACCAAAAAGTCTTCGTCTAATTTCTGCAATAAAATCGCCAAATCGGGTGGTATATCGGTATTCCCACCAGCAGCTCCCACGTTGGACCCTACACCCAGTGATAACCCTGAAGCTTCGGCCATCATCAAGTTTGAGTCCTTTATCGAAAGAATTCCCAAATCAGGATGAATCGTTGCCTCTGAAATAGACCTTTGTCGTTGCGAATTATAAATAGGACTGAGATTAGATTGCGACATTTATATTTCATTCCACACCTAATAGCAGATCTTTTACTTCCTCTAACCTTTTGCACGATACAAATATATCGAACCAGATACAATAAAATCTGGCAATAATGATATCACTATTACCAGGTATTGACTTTTTTTTTTGATCTTTTCTTTCAAAGTGATTTTGTGACACCGAGACCAATTTTAGTAATTATTATTATTTTTTTTTTTTTTTTTCACTTGTACCTCATCGTGTTAACAGAAACGGCTTGTTTTCTACTCACCATATAAAGAACGGCTTGTTTGCTTTTTGAGGAAAGGGTGAATAAAGGTGGTATAAAGAGAGTGCTGGTTTACAGTGTGAGTTGATAAAAAGGGTGCTGGTTTACTGTGTGGTTTACAGTGTGAGTTGATTTTCTTTCTTCCTTTCTTATGCTACGACTAGGGAATTTAGTTAGCCGGGACAAGTTTTTTGGCATTGTTCTTAATCGGTATGCACTGCTTGCACATCCATGTCGCCAGTTATTTATACCTAGTTCAAAAATCAAACGACAACAAAAGCTATCAGATGGTAAAGGAAACCTAAAGAACAAACGGAAAGCTGCAGGCGAGAAACTGCGCTTGCGATCTAAACAGGGGAATGTGCCAACGAGTGCACCAGCGGATCTCAGCAGCCTTCGAAGTTTGTCTCAAGAATTATCCAGCTACATTCGATATAATTCCAATCCAGACACGGACACAGCTGAATTTGATCATGATTTGGCATTTAACCAAATATATGAAGAAATATCTAGCATCCAGACACCTCAGCAACCACAATTACAAGCTTTGCCACATGATATAAAGTTGGAACTTCCCGAAGAAATCAGAGATAGGTTGGGTTTAATTATTGATTTTCTGCTGTTTGATGGTCGAGCGGATCTGTATGATTGGAACATGGTTTTATCTCAACTATCTCAAAGCGGTGGCTTTACTAATCTTAATGTGACCTCGATTAACAATTTCATAAAGCTAATACCACTGAAGCAATTAGTCGACTTAATTCCTGTTATCGAGCAGATGTTCAGAGAAGCAGACCTTGAGGTGCCATACAAGACAGAGTGGAGATTCTTTAAAGCTTTATGTGTTGGTAGTAAGTTACCTGATTCGCAAATTGAGCGATTGGAGTATTATTTCAACAAGTTTCTACAAGAAAAAGGTGATAAAATAGATTTCTTTGAAACAATGACATTTGCATATGTAAAAAACTATAATATGCGCAAAGTTGAAGCATTATTGAAAGAGATGCAATCTAAAGAGATGGTGATTAGTAACCAGATTTTCAAAGCGATACTTCGAGGATATATCCATTACGAGAAGAACTTTCAAAAGGCATTGGAGACTTTTGATGGGATGAAGTTTTTATCTGAAAAGACTCAACCCGATTCACGGGATTATGAAGAAATCATTAAAGCATGTGTTCTGGAGGGTCAACTAGAAAAAGGCATGGACTTTTACCAAGAAGCGCTAGACAAAAAACTAGGTGTGGAACAAGGAGTTTTTGTTGCATTGGCAAGAGGATGCTCGATAAGCAAAAAATACTCGTCCAAGTCTTGGGAGTTTCTATTCAAAATTTATGATCATGGTTGGAAACCAGATTTGGCCACTTATGAAGCAATGTTGTTTATATTTGCACAAGAAGGCGAGGTGAACTTAACAAGAGCACTCTTTTATAAAATGTTGCAGACCGGTTCAGTCACTCCCAAAGCTTTATCCTATTTGATGAAATCGTATTCTAGGTATAACTCAGCTGTCACAGGAACAAAACTGAAGTTGAATACTGGGGGTGAAAGAGACAGGTTTTTTCGCAGAAACATTCTTGAGAGTGTTGATTTTCAACAGGGAACAGTTGATGAGTTCCCGTTTTTACCTTTGAAAAATTTGAGTAGCAAGGAATTGGTATTTGCAGAGGCTCAGGCAGTATGGAAGTATATCTCTACCCATAAGCCCGATTTTGCGTCTCCATACTTTGTTTCTTCGTTCTTGAGTACGGCATTAAACCATGCAAGCTCCTTGAATGAATTTTCCAATAAATTCGAGGAATGTACATATTTGGATACAACTGGGTTAAGAACCAGACAAGTTGTGGATGATAGCAGCAGCAGCAGCAGCAGTAGTATTGAGGAGGGTCCTTTTGAGAAGGGCAACCAGGAAGTGAGCTCACCTGCTCATATTTCAGCACTTTCAGACACTACTCAACAACAACAACAACAACCACATAACTTTGTCAAAATTCCTAGAAATACTGCGCTGTATTTGATAGCATTGAGAGCAGCAGTAAAGCACAAGGATTATGAATTTGCTAAAAGCATACTTGAGGAAAGAGGTACTTACCGAAAAACTAGCCAATTTCAAGAGTTACCGGCAGAGGAACGGAAGAAATTGGACTTTCAATTTGCTTGTGCTATGGTTGACTGTTTCACAAAATTGGGAATTCTACATGATGCTCTAGCGATAGCATTGCTGTCGGAGGGAACCTTTAATTGGACCATGAAGGAGTTGAGGAAACTAATGAAGGCAACTTTAGTTCTTGGTGATCGTAAGACTGAAGACGCTATAAAGGGTATAGTTGCACGTACAAGAGCTCGTACTGGAAGTGGGATCATGAAAGATGACTATTTGAAAGCTCAAGCAAAATTAAATCGTGGTGTTGTTTATGCCCACTAGAGAAAGAAACTGTAAATAGAAATTTGTATTCCTGAATTATAGAATAAATGCATTTTAGACTGGAAAAAGTGGACTAGAAAAGAACTCTGTCTATATTCTAGATAATTTACTATTTACATATACACACACAAACATATATATATATATATATATGTTAGTGTTGGTGTAACTCTCCCCACCTATACAATTCTTCTCACCGCGCAGAGACGATGCTGATAAGACCGTTTTTCTTGATCACTTTTTGTATGGAACTTGACAAGTATCGTTCAAAATTTGGATTCTTTCGCATCATATCAACAATATTTGCATCGCTTTGCTGTACCAAATTTTTATCAAAAACAATCGTTCCTCTTGCCTTTCCATCAATAAACACATTGTATCTTTGAATACAAGTTTGAAGTAATTCCTCCCTTGGATACAGTTGTTGAAGTACAGAACTTGGTTCACGTCCTTCTTTGATATTCACCTTTTCCCAACATTCTTCAGCAGTAACGGGAGTCACGGGCGCCATACATACCAACAATTTTCTGTAGATATTTTGAATCAATTCCGCTTTATAATAATTTGATTTTTTAATTGCCTCTGTGATTAAGTTGGTAATCTTCATCAAGTCGGAAACAACAGTATTGAGTGAAAACACCTCGTCTATAGAGTTGGCTATATTTTGTATGAGTCCCTGGACACTATTGTAGAGCTCAAATTCATGCTCGTTTAGTTCAATAGTTTTTGATTCGTTGTGTTCATTTACTCCTCCCCATAATCTAACGCTGGCGGCGTGCACCAGACCCTGAGAGAAATTCGCATCGTCCAACTCATAAACAGAGTCGGCAAGGTTAATCACTCTTCTAAGCCATCTGTCTATTCCCAGGATTTGTTCCTCATTCCATTGAAGAGTATCGGAAACAGGTGCCAGAAATATTATATGTGCTCTTGTTGCATCTGCTCCATGTTTTAGGATGCATTCGCCAGGGTCTACACCATTGAATTTTGACTTGGACATCTTTTCGTATGTTATTACAGGCGTTTTACCAGATCCTTTGATTACAGGAGTTTCGGAATCATTCCAATTAAGTTCTTCCTGTTTCAAAAATTTCCCATTTGATGGGTCGCTAAAGGTCTTTCCATGAACCATTCCTTGTGTTATCAATCTCAACATTGGCTCATCTCCCCCACTGCTTTTGATGCCTTCCTCCCCTTTTTCTTCACCCCAGATCCCTTGATCCTTCAAGAATTTTGCTACAAATCTCGTATACATCAAGTGCAAGATAGCGTGTTCCACACCTCCAATGTACAAATCAACAGGCATGTTTTGACTTGCTTCTTTGCTGAGAATCATTTTATTGTTGTGTGGATCCAAATAACGCAAAAAATACCAAGACGAGTCCATAAAAGTGTCCATAGTATCAGTTTCTCTTTTGGCAGAACCACCACACGATGGACACTTGCAATGGACAAAATCATGCGCATTCTCCAAAGGATTGCCCTTTCCAAAATACTTGCTATCCACTTTCGGTAACAACACGGGTAATTGTTCCTCAGGAACGCCTACGGGACCGCATTTTTCACAGTGAACAATCGGAATAGGTGCACCCCAATACCTTTGTCTGCTGATTAACCAATCCTTCAACTTATAGTGAGTGACTTCTTCTCCAAGACCTAGTTCATTAAGCCTAGTGGTGATTTCTCTTGCTGCATCGGCGGGAGATTTTCCTTCGTAGTCTCCCAAACTTGCAACATGGGGATTGGAGCTACGCAAGACTCCTTGTTTTGATACATACGGAATAGTAATGTTCTCCTCCTCCTCACTTGGTTGTTGTTCCTTAGAGTCAGTGCCAATTACCTGAATAATTTTCCCATTTGGTTCATGCAATTTCCAAAACTCGTAATCTCTAAGGTCGTGACCAGGGCAACCCATTACTGCACCAGAACCATATTCACTTAGAACATAAGGAGCAACATAAATAGGAACGTCAAAAATCTCACGCTTACTATTATCACTATTAATTGGTATTGAAGCAGTCAAATTTTCAAGTTTATACCCTTGCTTAGAATCAGAATCCAAGGTTTTTGCATGGTTTATAAATTCTGCCAACTTTATATCATTTTTTGCAAGTTCTACAACTAATGCATGGTTTAGACTCAATGCGAGGAACTGCACACTGAATAATGTATCTGGACGAGTCGTATACACGCGCAAAGGGTTCCCGCTGTTGCTGATGGGAAAGCTTATCAGGAGCCCACGAGACTTTCCAATCCAATTTTTTTGCATTGTTTTAACATTCTGCGGCCAACCTGTTAAAGTATCCAAATCTTGAACGAGTCTTTCTGCATATTTCGTTATCCCTATAAACCACTGTTTTAAGTTTCTCTTCTCAACAATAGCTCCACTCCTCCATGATTTTCCCTCTGAGTCGACTTGCTCATTCGCCAAAACTGTTTTGTCTACAGGATCCCAATTTATTTCAGCCTCCTTTTGATACGCAAGTCCGTTTTCAAACATCATAAGAAATATCTTCTGAGTCCATTTGTAGTACTCTGGAGAACATGTGTTGATTTCTCGATGCCAATCAAAATCCGCTAAAAAACACTTCATTTGATCTTTCATTACTGCAATATTAGTCTCTGTCCATATGGCTGGATCGATGCCCCTCTCAACTGCAGCATTTTCTGCAGGCAATCCAAAGGCGTCCCATCCCATGGGATTGATAACCTTGTACCCTTGCATCTTCTTAAATCTGGCAACTACGTCACCTATAGTGTAAACCCGAAGATGACCCATGTGCAAAATACCCGAAGGGTACGGAAACATCACTAACAAGTAGAAACATTTTGCCTTATCAGAGAAAGCAACATTGCTGTTGGTTCCCGTAGTAGTTGGTGTCGCTCGAAGATACTTGTTGTTTTGCCAATTTTTAGTCCATTTCTCATCAAGCTCTTTGAAATTGATTTCTTTTATAGCATAGGTTCTGCTTTGCATGATAAAAGCTTTAGCCAACGAAGTGACTTCATTACGTCTGGTCCAATATCGTATCATCTAGAAAATTTACAAGTGGGAAAAGGGGTAACAGGGCTAGTCAATTTGTATGGTTCTTCACCTATTTCTCCATAATACCATTGAATCTTCAAATATACTTGATTGATAAACTCTTCTCTGAAAAGTCTCAAAACAAAATCGAGTGAAAAAAAAACAAAAAAAAAAACAAAAAAAAAAAAAAACATAATAGTAAAGGTTGATGGATAGCATTCTATCTCAGCTTTTAAACTATTATTCCAAAAAGGAGAGGAAGAAGGTTGATTTCTTATGATAATGCGAGATTCTTCAAAGATAGAAAGGGGTGATTTTCAAAACGGAGAGTTAAAACAAGATGCTGGTGTTGGTGGGTATTTCAACAAGATCAAGAATGTATTATTTCATCGCAACCAAGATTCTCGCAAGGATGATGACGCTGAAATCAAAGATACAGGTAGTGCAAGTACCCCTATTACGATAGATGATGTAGAAATAACAGACATTCTATCTACAGACTTTGAAGTCTCTGATAAGAGGAGGAGACTATCTATTCAAGGACACGCACCTATGGAATCAATCCCTCGTTCCCTATCTTCCTCCACTCAGCAATATTTAGCAAGGAGGGGTTCTAATTGCTCCTATCTGACGTTACGAAGTAACTTCAATACAAATGAGGAAGAGATCCATAATGATTTGGAACGGCGAAGATCGATAATACAGGGAGGAGGTATCGATGGTTTTGGAAGCGGAAGCGGAAACGGAAACGGAAACGGAAACGGAAGCGGAAGCGGAAGCCGAAACAGAAGAGATGAGTCGCCATGTCTAAATTTACCGTGCGTGAGAATGACTAGCCAAGATGGCGGCAGCGAGTTGTTGGGAAAAGACTCTTACTTGCAAACTGACGACGAGGTTTCGAGAAATGGGTGGATTATTCCCGATTATAAAAGAACAACTTTTGGCAAAATTGATCCATTAGAACGCAACCGAGTAATATATTTAAAACGTTCAATGGAGGTTTTGGAAAAGGCAAAAAAGAGGACCAAGTATATGATTAATCCCAATGAGACTACAAGCGAACCCTCGGATGATAAAAAGCGAGTCAACAGCGGGACACAAACGCACGATTTGGAATACCTCAAATCCAGTTTGCATTTTAAACAAAACCGCAAAAGGAAAATCGAAGAGAAGGAGTTGCTGCTGCTGCTGCTACTACTGCAACCAACAAAGCGACAAAAGAAGAGAGGGTTTTATATGAAAGATTTTTTATATGATGTAAGTAGTCAGCGGCAGGAGAAGGAGAAGGAGAAGCCTGAACAGGAGGATACTGACACAATTGGTTATGCTAATGAGATTAGTAAACCGAGATTTACAACCAAGGCAGAGAAGGATGGATCTATTACAAAGCTAAGGCCACAAGAAGATGATGATGGAGGTCATGATGATCGTGGCATTAGTGGCATTAGTGGCGTTGGTTTATTTGGCAAGAAGCAGAATAAAGACAAGCCATTTGTGTCTGAAAAATTGAACTTATCTCTTGATGCAGATTATGTTCAAAAAATGCGGTCTGTTGCAGATATCGTTAAGTTGAAGGATAAAGTGGAGGATGCAGAGCCAAATAAGAGCACTGCGGTTCCATCGTCGTCATTTAAATTCTCCATTGATAATGAAAAGCTAGAAAAGATTTTGACCAAGAATAACGAGGAGAATATAGCAACAAGGGATGCAGCAGCAGAAAGACAAAAGAGTGAACAAAAACAAGAGCAAAAAGAGTTGGAGAAAGCAAATGAAAAAAATGGATTTACGCTCAAATTTGGTCAACCTGAAATTAGTAAGTCCAAGATCAATAGTAATAAGGCGGCTACTCCGTTTTCGTTTGGAAGTAAAGTACTGACCAGTAACGGTTCACTAGATTTTGGTTCTAGCAACAATAATAGAAAGACAGGTACAAGTCCATCATTTAATTTTGGTAAAGTGCAACCTGAGGAATTTAATACGAATAAGCTGAGTCAAAACGAAAAGCAACAGGTAACTGCTGCCCCTTCCCCTGCCCCTGCGCCCGCTGCTGCTAAGCCCACTGTTCCATTTGTTTTTCGTCCGATAGTTGGCGATTCTCACATTCCAAAAGATGGAGACAAATCCAAAGCGGAGTCAAGTGTAGTTGCTGAAAAGCCAGTTGAGAAGAGTGTCCCTTCTTTTGGCGAAAAGGCCCTGTCTGGTGGTGGTGGTGGTAGTGGTAGCTCTGGAACATTCACGTTTGGTTTAGGTAAGACGTCTGACACGAAACCTGGGGTTGATTCTAACACTCAGATATCCATTTTAGGTGACGAATCACAAAAACAGTTGAATAAACCTATTCTGTTTTTTGGTGCAAGTTCAAACAGTGTTAGAAAAGAAAATGATGTTGCAACTTTTGGTGGTTCTAAGCAAGGTCAGACTACAAGCAATATGTTCAACTTTGGCAAGACAAAAGAAGATAATAACAAGTCACAACAGCCAAGTACGCTATTTACATTTGACAAGAAAGTGAATCAAGAGAAAAATGAGAGTAATAATCCAGTGAGTTCGAATTTTACGTTTTCATTTGGCGGCAATAATAAGCCTAGTTCCGAGAAGGAAGAAAAAGAAGCAAGTTCAATGTTAGAAAAGGATGCCGGTGAAAAAGATGCGTCAAAGTCCACCTCTATTTCTGCATTGGGACAACCATCTACACAAATTGTGACTGAATCAAAAGAAAGCGAATCTAGTAGTAAACCTCAATTTTCATTTGGTACAGCATCTAAAACTACAGAGAAGGATGCTACTGCACAACCATTTGCATTTGGATTGTCGTCGGTGAAACCTTCTGTGGGAGATACAAAAACACCCACTTTTAATTTTGGTTCAGCTACAAAAACAAGTAGTGATAAAGAATTGAATGGGAAAACTGTTTTTGATGGTGAAAAGGCGCCAGTTTTTGGTTCGAGTAAAACACTGGGCTCCTTTGAATTTGCTAGTGGAACCAATCCTACTTCCGCTAAGTCGTCGTCGTCGTCGGCGGCGGCGCCGATGACAACACCATTTGTTTTTGGAGCCAAGCCACAATCATTTTCGCTGTTCCAATCTCCACAAATTCCTAAACCGGCATTTGGCAATGTATTTACAAACAAGCCTATTGAGAATAATACTAGTAGTAATGTGCCTTTATTTGGAAATTCAAGTAATGGACCTAGTGTTGCACAGCCAGCAGCAGCAGCAGCAGCAGCAGGAGGAGGAGGAACAGTGCCAGCAGTACCACTGTTTAATTTTGGTGGTAGCAAAGAATCTACACCTGACCCTTCAACTATTTTTGGTAAACATGCACATGTTAGTAGAGAAGTGACCCCATTTGGAGGATTTGGAGTGACCCAGCAGCAACAGACACCACTGCAAAATATTTTTGGTCAGATACCACCAACCCAACAGCAGCAGCAGCCACAGCAACAACAGCCATCTTCTATATTTGGCTCGACACCCAGTGCACCATTTAGTTTTGGCAGTGTAGCTTCTCCTGGTAATATTAGCATGGGGAACATACCATCAGTAGGGCTACAACCTGTACAGGCACAGGTCAATCCCCGTAGAATGAAGATTCCTAAAACAAGACGAAGATAAGAGGAATACCTGATAAATTATAAACCATAAATCGATAGAGAACATTTACACATGTAGAGGAAGAGTATAGCTAGTTGAGGAAATGTATAAGTTAACAGTCTATTTTCGACACTAGACCAGACCGACACTAGAGAGCGAAGCAGCCCGACACTAGAGAGCGAAGCGAGCTAGTGGAGCACTAACGGTTATTCTGCCCGACACTAGAGAGCGAAGCGAGCTAGTGGAGCACTAACGGTTATTCTGCCCTACACTATTCTGCACTTTTCTAATCTGCTCTTTTCTATTTTCTCTTTTCTACTGAGTGTTGTAACAAGCTACAAGTGTTGCTCCACTATCGAGCGAAGCATCTTGTCAAGTCTCTAGTCTCAAATCATCACTATCTCGCTTCGCTCGATAGTGTCGCTCGATAGTGTTGTAACAAGCTACAAAGTGTTGCTCCACTATCTCGCTCTGCTCGATAGTGTCGCTCGATAGTGTCGTAGTGATGATTTCCTAATTGAGTAAACGAGAACTTTACTTTGTTTTTCCCATAGTTGGAAATAACTACAATCAAACCCCCCGTGTCTAATGCATCTCTAGACAAAAGCCCTTGGCGTAATTAACCGGAGATAACCAATACGTTTATTTCTAAATATAAAAGTTTATAATTTCATTTCCCAAGCAAGTAACCAAGTGTGAATTTTTGATTCTAAGATTTTTCTATATTCTATAAGGTGCAAAAGCTGGAAAAGTTTGGAAAATTAAAGTGAAATTTGAAACTGGAGAAAGACACTATCGTGCAGGGCGACACTATCGTGCAGGGCGACACTATCGTGCAGGGCGACTCTATCGAGCAGGGCGACTCTATCGAGCAGAGCGAGATAGTGGGGCACCAAAAAGAGAAGAAGAGATAGTGGAGCACCAAAAAGAGAAGAAGACTTTGTTCGTCTGCTCCACTATCGCTCGATAGTGTTGTAACAAGCTACAAAGTGTTGCTCCACTATCTCGCTCTGCTCGATAGTGTCGCTCGATAGTGTCGCTCGATAGTGTCGCAAACTTTCTTCCATTTTCTTTCCTATTTTCTAGTATCGATACTATCAGTAGAAGTTAGTGTTTGCAAATAGATTAAAGAAATAACTAGTGTCGATATTGTCAGAAGTTCTGGTCGATAGTGTCGCGAATAAGTTGATATGTCGTTATATGTAAATTATTGATTCCCTTAATAAAATGTCGCTCTTCAGTCATAAAATCGTGTACCCTGTACCAATTACCGAAAGATCTCTAAAATCGACAGATTTGGTAATTCATTATAAAAAAAGATGAAATTAATTATGCTAGTATACTTGAAAAACGAATAAAGACAAGATTGAGAATTGAGCAATAGTGAAAAGGAGGGAGGGGGAGGGGCAGGGCGGATTTCCCCTCCTCTCTTTTCACTATTGCTCAAATAAATGGAAAAAATAAGTGGAGTTGATCCAACTATCTTTACTGACTTACGAAAAAGAGGTTCCTTCTCCTTCTCTTTCTTCTTTCTTCTTTCCTTTCCCCCACCTCCAATTCTAAAAGTCGTAACTTATTTCGGTTAAAATCCAACCCCCCCCCCCCCTCCAAGCCATAATAAAATTTGATTGTGATTTTACCCTTTTCTTTTGTTGCCCAATTTCTTTGTTCTAAAATTTCACAAGGTTCAACAAAAAAATATTTATTCCCTTTGTGAATGAAGCAAAAAGAGCTGATCTTGTTTTAACAGGGGGAAAAGGTCAACGACACAGAGAAAAAGTCGTGGCGTATCTTTTAGTCTAATTTATCGTTCAATATCTTGTGTCTTACTCCTTAGTCCTTTATATGTCCATTTTATCTTTTTGTCTTTAGTATATATATAGTGTCAACTATTTTTCATTTGGATAATTATACCATTTTTTTTTTCTTCTTTACTCACCATTAACCAGTCACCTACTCAACCTATCTCAACTAATCTTTGTGATTTGCTTTGATTTGATTTGATTTGATTTGATTTGATTTGATTTGACAAGCTTAAACTTAAACTTTTCCCGCCGTCCCCAGTTGCCGTCTCTTACTCATACTGACACTGTGCGACAATCGCTCCTTTCCTTTCAGTTTGGTTCTTTTCCTTTACGATAAAGAAGCATTCTACCACTGCGGAAAACAAAAAAGTTTATAACAAAGAAAAACTGTTGAAAACAAGTACCCTTTGCTTTTTTGTAGAGTGATATAAACCTTTATAGACAAGAGATCTCTCTGACCTAGAATCAACTTTACTTGAAGAAGAAATATTAGTCAAAATGCCATCAGATAACGTAAAATATCGTTTACAAAGAATCCAAACACTTAATGGTGAGCAAGAAATTATTTTGAAACAATTTTGGGCCTATTTTTTGAAATATTTAGGTTATGAAATCAACATAAATGCCCAGGATATAGCTTATAAACAATGTTTTGTTGCTTCAACTTCAACTGCAAATTTTGATGAGTCTCAAGCTATTTCAACAAATGCTTTATCAAAGTCAAACACAAGAGGTTCAATTTCTTCAGGCAAAAGTTCCGCTTCAAAGAAGAAGATGGGTTTATTTGGCTCTAAAAAGTCAAGTGCAAGTGTTGCCAATTCAGGCTCTGTTGGTACCGCTCAAGGCAGTCCCCCGGCCAATTCGAAAAGAATGATGCAGATTCAAACTCAATCTTCTGCTGAAAGATATTCTCCTGTTGATGTTCCAACTTTGGAGATGTACGAGATTTACGCTCATCACTACAAGCTAGCTTTCGAATATGCTGACGATTTTGATGGTAGCACTTTAGTCAATGGCAATGGCAATGCCAATGCCAATGCCAATGCCAATGGATACTTTGCTGGCGATGATGACGCTTCTTCATTTACGTCAATGGAAACTTTTGTTACTGCCTCGACTACATTGACTGATTATGACGATTACCCAGCCCATATTTTCAACAATGGCAATATCAAACAAAATGGTAAAGCTTATGGTGGAAGAATCGGGTATCCTCAACATCAACAACACAACAATAGCAAAAACTACAACCAACAGCAGTACAACAACCAACACCAACAAAATGGAGGTTCGGCAATTGATCTCTTTCAAGCTAGTGTCAACAACCCTGTTAGAGTTAATCCAGACATTAGTCTTTTGCATTCATTTAGTCAATATAACCCAAAGGAGATCCACCAAGCTTATTTCAAAACTCTCCGTAATGATTTACCTGATAATTTATTTCTCAAGTTTATTAGAGCAAGAAAGTGGGATACTGAGAAGGCTATGGATATGTTGCTCAAATCTTTGAATTGGAGAGCAAATGAGTTTCCAACTGATGATTGGGCTATGGAAGGTGATTCACCATCTTATTTGAGTGGTACTAATCAAGGATTTATCAAGAATTTCACAACTGAAAAATCATGGATCAAAGGTAGAGATAAGAATAATAATCCAATTTTCATGTTTCAAGCTAAGAAACATTTGACTGCTGATTCTCCATTACCTCAAAATCAAAGGTATGCAGTAGTCACAATTGAATGGGTTAGATTATTTTTAAGAGAGGTTAGTGAATCAGTTGATACTTGTACAATTGTATTTGACTTGACTGGTTTTTCATTAAAGAATGCCGATTATGCAACCATTAAATTCTTGGCTGATGTTTTTGAAGCTCATTATCCAGAAACTTTGGGATTTATATTAATTCATAATGCACCATGGATTTTCTCTACTGTTTGGAATATTATTAAGAACTGGTTAGATCCGGTTGTTGCATCCAAGATCCATTTCACCAAGGATGCAAAGGAGTTGTCTAAATTTATTGATCCAACCTTGATTCCAGATTATTTGGGTGGTGAAGATACAACAAGGGGATACTATCCAATTCCAGAGCCAAAAGATGAGTTTCCTCCAAAGAGAAAAGATGCTGAATATTCCAGATTAAGAAGAGAAAAAGATTATTTACTTACCAGATTTTTTGAAACTACAAAAAGATGGATTGAATCTACAAACCCTCAAGTTTCTGATAGATATTTAAAAGACAAGATTGATTTAAATATTGCATTATCACGTAATTATATTCAATTAGATCCATACGTTAGGATTCCAGGTATTTACGATAGAGATCATACATTAGTTGTTGGGCATTAAGACATACACCGAGAGAGACTGAGACTGAGACTGAGACTGAGACTGAGACTGAGACTGAGACTGAGACTGAGACTGAGATTGAGACATACACAAAGATAATAGAGTGAAGAAGATTGTTAGAAAAGGAAAAAGGGGGAAAAGTGACAGTATGTAGTTTTGATATGTGATTTGGTGGTGGCATTTCCTAGTTTGGTATACAGAGTTGTTTTTTAATCTTTTACATTCATTTTTTTAATGTATATATATATATATATAAATTTGTATACAATGTTATTTTTGAAGTTATCTATAAGCTGTATTTGTATAGACGACATTTTTATATCACAAATACACGCAAATACGTTTTTGCGCTGAATGTCGTTCTCCAGTTTTTCTTTTTTTTTCTTTTTTTCTTTTTTTTTTTTAATTTAATTTAATTTAATTTTTTTTTTCCATTTTCGGATTAGAAATTATATTATCATTTGAAAATTTAATTTTTAATTTTTCCCCACATTTTCACAAAATTAAGTAAAAGCTGGTGTGCGATGAGGATGAAAGAATGATGGTGATGCTGATGATAAAATGAGTGATTGAAAAGATTTAACTCCAATCCATGCAAGAGCAAGCTGAAATTAGAGAAAGGATTGGTAAGATTCATAGCTTTACTTATTTTACTTATATAGAAGCAAACTTGCAAGTTGTGCTAGGCATGACTACTTTTTCTTTTTTTTTTTTTTTTTTCTTCTCTCAATTTACTTTGACGGAAGGTGAGAAGTTGTGTATGGAGGAGGGGGGAAGGGGGGGGTAATACGAGAAAAAGGGCAGGTTCTACTTTTGATTTTGTTTTCCAGGATCGCAGCGAATTGCATAGGTTCAACAAAATTTACTGGAACGACACAATGTGTCAACAACTATGAGGGGCGGGGGGGCTGGCCAAAAGAAAAAGGGGAAGGAAGATTGACAGATGCGCCCGTAATTGACATAGTTGCCAAATTAAGCTTCTTGTTTGCAAGAGAAACTATATTTGAGAAATTCCTTCATCAAACCGAGCTTTAATCTCTCTTTTAGTTTTCATAAGTAGGCTTATATTATGTTTGAGCCGCGGAGCAGCGGCATTAGAGATAACACACGACGTGTGAAAATTGCATTGTTTTAGACGATATCGACACAATCGACACTATCGACACTATCGACACTATCGACACTATCGACACTATCGACACTATCGACACTATCGACACTATCGACACTATCGAGCAGAGCGAGATAGTGGAGCACACTAGCTGTCGCTTTGTTCGGTAGTAGAGCACACTATCGAGCAAAGCGAGATATAGTCGCTAGTGTCAGTGTAGTCAATACTGCTCTACTATCAGGCAAAGCGATAGTGTCGCTAGTGTCAGTGTAGTCAATGCCGCTCCACTATCGAGCAGAGCGAGATAGTGGAGATAGTGAGCACAATGACTAGTTACGATACTATCTCGCTCTACTCTCTACTCTTTACATACTGCTCCACTAGCAAAGCGAGCTCTCTATTCTTTACCCACTGCTCCACTAGCAAAGCGAGCTCTCTATTCTTTACCCACTGCTCCACTAGCAAAGCGAGCTCTCTATTCTTTACCCACTGCTCCACTAGCAAAGCGAGCTCTCTATTCTTTACCCACTGCTCCACTAGCAAAGCGAGCTCTCTATTCTTTACCCACTGCTCCACTAGCAAAGCGAGCTCTCTATTCTTTACCCACTGCTCCACTAGCTCGCTCTGCTCCCTAGTTTCGCTACTCTCTACTCTCTACATACTGCTCCACTAGCAAAGCGAGCTCGCTATTGTCGCGACACTTAAAAGACAATTACTTCTTTTGAAAGTTTTCGTTTTGAAAAACTTCCGCCTATAACCATCACATTAAGGCATCCCCCCCCCCCATCTATAGGCTACTTAGGCATTCACAATGTCGCGTCGTTCTGTTAGAAGATCAATAAACCTAGACTCGAAAACTAGAAATGAACTACGTTCGGATATTGCGTCACAAGGTCCCAAACTAGACAATGAAGGAAGGGTCGGTTCAGGAGTAGATGATGAAGAGTCAAGAGAAGAAGAAGAAGAAGAAGAAGAAGGAGGAGGAGAAGGAGAAGACGAAGAAGGAGAAGAAGGAGACAACGAAAACGAAGAAGAAATAACTAGGTGTATATGTGGACTAGACGAATTGCAAAGCAACTTAATTAATCCGGATTTGGCACAACTATTGAAAAAGGAGTTTAAAATAGAAATCGATCTGGGATTATTCATCCAATGCGATAAATGTGGTGTATGGCAACACGGATATTGTGTTGGATTATATGAAAGTGATGATGTTCCTGATAAGTATTGGTGTGAACAGTGTAAACCAGAGTTGCATACAGCTGTTAAAAATGACTCTTACCTGGTTAGAACTCTATATAAGCCAGTCAATGATAAGAGAAGAAAGATTGAACAATTTGGCTTAAATGAACAAGATGACAATGAGGAGATAAAGTCTGAATATCATCATCATAACAACTCGGGAGGCAATGGCGCTAGAAAGGGGAAAAGAAATGAAAAATCTCTCAATACTACGCTTCAAGTAACAACAACAACAACAACAATAACAACAACAACAACAAAGGAAAAACGAAAAGAAAGGAGATTACATCATCAACACAAAGATGAAGAGGAATATGATAAGCAGTTACAAAAAGCGTTGAGAGAAAGTGCCAAAGAATCGGGACTAGTGGCCGATGAATCAGATACAGGGCGCGTATCTCCCAGGAAAAGAACAAGTAGGAATGGCACTTCTTCTGCAACTTCAAATTCAAATACTAAAAATTCCGCTGAACCAAGTGATGGAACAGAATCAAGGCCTAAACGGTTTAAATTGGACACTGATGCAGAAACTGAAGTTAATAATAGTAGCAACAACAATAACAACAGTACTAATAACAATAGCAATGGCAGTATTAGTAGTAGTAGTAGTAAATCCGAGATAAAATCGGAATCACTAACATCAAGGAGCAAATCGAAAAGGAAGATAAAAGAAAACAATATTAAAAGTAGTGTCACCTCATCGTCATCTTCATCCTCAGTACTGTCTGTTTCAGGGAAAAACAATTCCAAACAAGTTGAACAGTCTACAAACAAAGACGAGCTAATAAAATCATCTTACAAACCTCGATATGTTAGCAGTAAATCAACTATTTATGATCTTCGCAAACGCACAAGTGCAATAATTGAATGGATAGCGAGAACTCAACAAGATCTACAAGAGGAAAAATTGCATAAATTGGAATTGTATTCCTTTGCTCCGGATACAGAAAAGGCCAAGGAGGAGAAAACGGTAATGGAGCTGACTTTTAATGAGCAAGGAGCAATGATCGATAAATTACGAAATATGATCAATGAGTGGGAACTGAAATTTGGCAAGTATGCTCCTTGAAACGATAATTATATCTGTAAATATATATATATATATTTATATGTGTGTGATAGGCGCGGAGTAGCTTTACAATACTTCACGAAGTAACTCTTGTCTATCTTGCGCAGTTGTTGGTGAAGAAGCTTGCTCTTGATCTTCATTGCGAGAAACCATATTGCACATTTTGTTCAACCACAGTGAACTGTTCACTACTTCGTCACCACCAATAATGATACTAACTTTATTGTTATTAGCACTGAGCTCATGGACTAATCTGGATTCCTCATAAGTCACACCACCTTTTATATAAACAATTATATCTCGAGCCAGATAATCAGTATTGTTACCATATTGCAGTTTTACTTTGTCGGGAATCAATGTTGCTAGGAAAGTTTGTGAAGATTGGGTTTCAGGGCTTATTAGACTTGCTAGGATTTCATTTAGTCTTGGTGTATATTGCAAATAAATGTTGTCATTAGTAGTAGCATTCGAGTGCCTATTGAATATGTTATTGATATTGACTCTTTTATTGGCAAAGAGATTAGTCAATCCCTGTTGCTGCAGGTGGTGTTTCTGCCCTGCAGCTATATCATTAGTTCTAAATAGTGTTGTAAACTTTTTCAACAATTCGAGTTGATTCATTGTCGGTGATGGAATAGTGAAAGTTGGGTCGTTTAGTTTGGAGATGAATAATGATAAATCGGTTGGGTTATGAAAACGGTGTGAGTAGAGCAACACCAACTTTATCTTGTGTTCAGTAAGGTATTTCTTACTTTCCAAGATTTCCACCAACTTCTGCTTAATATTCAGTTGTTGATCTAAATCACAAATTATTGTTTGTTGCAATTCTCCAATTTCCCACAACAGCTGTCGTGATATTTGTTCATCTATTTCACTAATCAAGTTCAAGTGGGTTAAGATATTAACGGAAAACTTTTTGTATTCGGGGAACTTTGTCAAGATCTTTTTCAAGTCTGATAAATTCTGTGACTTGAGATTCTCTATTGAAGATTGTTTAGTTTCAGTTTTATACTTTTCAACATATTTTTGAAACTTATCGGTTAAATCACCATAGTTTAAATACATTGACTCTTTAAAAAACTGATCATCTTGGGAAAGAATGACTTGGTTATCAGGGGGCAATTTCACTACATTTTTCTCGATATTCAAAAACTCATTGATCATCGATTGATAGGTCCATGGAGTAATTAGCGGAGTTATTGAATCGTTTTTTCGATCCAACAATAACAAGATTGGTGGGATATCTGAATGTCGATTCAAATCGTCAAACAAGTTATTATTTGAATTTGAATTGATATTGTACAAGATTTCCGAACTGAGCCTTTTCAAATCGATTGAATTCGATTCATATTTAATCAAAGGAGTTTTCTTCAATGCAAGAAGCAAACTTGTCAAACTCTCAGCTTCCAGCAAAACCGGGTTTGCCACATTTTTTTCAGGTTTGATCAAAAAAAGTTCATTATTCAAAATAGAATAGTCTTGAAACAACTCAATTACCTTCTCAATGACTTCGTATTCGTCGGCCTCGGCCAACTGCTCGATTTGGTTCTTGCTGACTGTATTATTAAAGTACAAGTTGTAAGTTTTGTAATGGGGCGCTTTCAATTCTTTCAACAACAGTTGAATCGACTCGGTGCATGGTTTTATATAAACTATGCAATCGACATTTTTCATACTAGAAAGGTGTTTAAACGAACCAATTAATTCGATCAAGATAACATCGTTTGAAAGCAATTGCGACTGGGTATAACACATTGAAACCACAGCGGTGGTATAATTGTCGAGAAGAAGAACCTTGGGTCTCTTTTGCTCAACCTCACCAAAACCATCACCACCACCACTATTACTATTGTGGCTCTTCACACCATCACCATGTCTTTGGGAGTGAAACAATTGGTCAAAATAGACATCTTTTACCTTTGACAAGCTTAACGTCATAGCCCCTTCACCAAAGTGTCTACCAGCAGCAACAAAATATCCTCTAAACTTTGCTTTTCCTCTTTTTGTTAAAAGGAATAGTTATATCCATTGCCACGAGTTTAATTAATCCTCACTATTTTTTTTTGCGTGTGTTGAAAGTGTGGACGACACTAGCAGCACTAGCGAGCGAAGCGAGCTAGTGGAGTAGCACAGACTGCCACTATCGAGCGGATGACACTATCGAGCGGATGACACTATCGAGCGGAGCGAGATAGTGTAGTAGCACTTGAAACACGGGGTGTTGTTGAGAGCTAGTGTGCTCCACTATCGAGCGAAGCGAGATCAGTGTTGTTCAGAGCTAGTGAGAGCTAGTGAGAGCTAGTGAGAGCTAGTGAGAGCTAGTGAGAGCTAGTGAGAGCTAGTTGGAGCTATTGTGCTCCATTATCTCGCTTCGCTAAATAGGGTCGGTCAGAGAACTATTGTGCTCCACTATCTCGCTTCGCTCGACAGTGTCAGTCTGTACTGCTCCACTTGCTCCACTAGCTCGCTTCGCTCGCTAGTATATTATAGCAAATGAACCAGTCACTGAGCTTACTGGCATTAATACCGAGTTGACGAATTACTCGGTGTTTACGAATGGAAAAAAAAGGGAATGGACGAAAAGAGATTCGAACTCTTGGCCTCATGCTTGCAAGGCATGCGCTCTACCAACTGAGCTATACGCCCGATTTATAGAAAAACAGCACTGACGACACTAGGGAGCGAAGCGAGCTAGTGGAGCACCACTATCGAGCACCACTATCGAGCACCACTATCGAGCACCACTATCGAGCACCACTATCGAGCACCACTATCGAGCAATACTATCGAGCAATACTATCGAGCAATACTTTATAGCTTGTTACAACACTATCTCCCTTTGGTCGATAGTGGGAGCAACACTTTATAGCCTGTACGACACTCAGATATATGTATACATGCTATCCTTGTATCTAGAAGATATGTACAAATTCAGAAAAAAGTTTCAAGTTTCAAGTTTCGAATCAAGCTTGGTTATCAATTTTATAACCATTACATCTCTGATAAAAATTGGTAAAAAATTGAGACAAAACATTTAGCAAATAAAAATGAAGTTGCTATTATCGACACTATCGACACTATCGAACGGAGCGAGATAGTGAAGCACACTAGCTGCCACCGACACTATCGACACTATTGAGCAACACTTGATAGCTTGTTACAACTCTATCGAGCAATACCATCGAGCAACACTTTGTAGCCTATTACAATACTATCTCGCTCTGCTCAAAAGTGCACAATTAAATTAATAATATATAATTAATGTCATTTACACACTGACTAGCTGCCCACTATCTCGCTCTACTCGATAGTGTTGCTCGATAGTGTTGCTCGATAGTGTTGCTCGATAGTGTTGCTAGATAGTGTTGCTCGATAGTGTTGCTCGATAGTGTTGCTCGATAGTGTTGCTCGATAGTGTTGCTAGATAGTGTTGCTCGATAGTGTTGCTAGTCAATGTGCACTCTCTACTATCTCGTTCCTCGACAGTAGAAAGTGCCCTGTAAAAGTTTTCTAGTAGTGCTCCACTATCTCGCTCTGCTCGATAGTGGGGAGCCAGAGATGGAGATTGATTTTTCTTCAATTGAGCTAGAGATGCCATTAGGTATAGCCGAGAGTGGAGACATACCGAGCCAACGGAAACAAAGTATTCTATAGAGAGTGTAGTTGATGGCCTATAGAGAGTGTAGTTGATGGCCTATAGAGAGTGTAGTTGATGGCCTATAGAGAGTGTAGTTGATGGCCTATAGAGAGTGTAGTTGATGGCCTATAGAGAGTGTAGTTGATGGCCTATAGAGAGTGTAGTTGATGGCCTATAGAGAGTGTAGTTGAGTGACTATCTCGCTTTGTTCGATAGCCTATAGAAAGAGTGTATTTGATAGACTCTCGCTCTGCTCGATAGCCTATAGAGAGTGTGTAGTTGATAGCCTATCTCGCTCTGCTCGATAGCCAATAGAGAGCGTGTAGTTTAGAGACTATCGAGCAGAGCGAGATAGTCTATAGCATATAGAGACCGTAGTTGATAGACTATCTCTCTCTGCTCGATAGTCGATAGCTCGATAGTCTATAGAGAGAGTAGTTGATCGCCTATAGAGAGTGTAGTTGATAGCCTATAAAGAGAGTGTAGTTGATAGACTATCTCGCTCTGCTCGATAGTTTATAGCCTATAGAGAGTGTAGTTTATAGCCTATAGAGAGTGTAGTTTATACCCTATAGAGAGTGTAGTTTATACCCTATAGAAAGTGTAGTTGATAGCCTATCTCGCTCTACTCGATAGCCTATAGCTCAATAGTCTATACAGAGTATAGTTGATAGACTATCTCGCTCTGCTCGATAGTCTATAGCTCGATAGTCTATAGCTCGATAGTCTATACAGAGTATAGTTGATAGACTATCTCGCTCTGCTCGATAGTCTATAGCTCGATAGTCTATAGCTCGATAGTCTATACAGAGTATAGTTGATAGACTATCTCGCTCTGCTCGATAGTCTATAGCTCGATAGTCTATAGCTCGATAGTCTATACAGAGTATAGTTGATAGACTATCTCGCTCTGCTCGATAGTCTATAGCTCGATAGTCTATAGCTCGATAGTCTATACAGAGTATAGTTGATAGACTATCTCGCTCTGCTCGATAGTCTATAGCTCGATAGTCTATAAATAATCAAGAGGTTATTCGTATTTATTTAATTTAGTGCGAAAAAGCCGTAATCGGAGATGAGCAGTAGCAAGGAAACGGTCCATGAGTCTGATACCCACGAGAGTACTGATACCCACGAGAGTACTGACGGGTGTACTGATACCCACGAGGGTACTGACAAGTGTACTGATACACCCGAGAGTACTGACCAGTGTACTGATACCCAGTACCTAAGTGGAGTATCACTACTTCTCACGCTAAGTTCATGCATAGTATCCCTCTTCATAGTGGCGCTCGACCAGACAATCGTGTCTACCATCTTAACCACTGTCGGGGACGAGTTCAACTCCTTTGAGCGAGTAGGATGGCTCACGTCCGGGTTCATGCTCCCGATGGCGTGTCTTGTTGCGTCGTACGGCAAGATCAGTATAGCATTTGGCAGGAAAACTACCCTAATTGGGGGGATCATCATCTTTGAAATAGGCTCGCTCATAAGTGCTTTGAGCACTTCTATGAATATGCTTATTGGCGGACGTGTCGTGCAAGGGGTTGGCGGTGGTGCTGTGCAAAGTATGGTGATGGTGATCTTAAGCGAGAGTGTTGCTATTTCTAGAAGGTCGTTGGTATTTGCGAGCGTGGCAGTAGTGTGGTCGACATCGAGTGTGCTTGGTCCCATCATTGGCGGGGCGTTGGAGAAGATTAGCTGGAGATGGTGCTTCTACATCAACTTGCCAATAGGGGGAGCAAGTTTAGCAGTGTTGCTCTTTGGATACAGGCCAAAAAGCAACACAGTAAATAGTGTAAAAGAGAGATTGCAGCAGATTGATTATTTGGGGACGATTTTGGTTTCCCTGGGGATAGTGATGGTACTATTGGGAATGACCTTAGGGGGGAATGAGTATGCATGGGATTCAGCGGCTATTATTTGCTTGTTTGTGATTGGAGGGGTGGTGTGTATTTTGTTTATAGTGTGGAACTTCAAGTACAGTAGCCACCCTATTATTTTAGGTGAGTTTGTCAAGAGTGTTCCCATCATGGCCTCCATCATCAGTGCAATGTTCAATTTCGGGTTCTTTATATCCAACATGACCTACTTGGCCATCTACTTCCAAGTGGTAAAAAGTGCAAGCAGTTTTCAGTCAGGGATCGATTTATTGCCATTGGTGATTGCAGTGACCGTGTCATCATTATGCAACTCCATCTTTATAGACATAACAAAGAATGTCAAGCTTACAATGATAGTGTCTGGGGTCCTTAGTCCTATAGGCACAGGTCTATTTCTACTAATGGGAAAAAATACAAGCTTAGGAGTGAGGATTGGGATTATGGTGGTTAGTGGAGTGTCAATTGGTCTCCAGTTTCAGAGCTCTTTATTAAGTGCACAATTAGAGGTGGATACTCCAGAGGCGTTGATTATGGTAACTGTGTTTATGAACTTTATGAAGAACTTGGGGTCCACAGTTTCTGTGACTCTAGCACAGCTCATATTCACACAAACGGGAATATCCTATATAAAAAAGGTGGTGAGTGATGATATACCTGCAGAGACCCTAATATCCAATCCAAGGACGATCCATGCACTTCCTTTGGAAGTGCAGGAGACGATCTTGGATCAGTTTGTCCGAGCATTGAAAAACGTTTTTTATTTCGGATTAGCCTTGGGGGTGGTGTGTTTTGTAGCGTCCATGTTCACAACAAACAAGAGGATACCAAAAGGGGAGGAGAAAAGGGGGGACGATGATAGGGGGGAGGGTGAGGAGGGTGAGGAGGGTGAGGAGGGCGAGGAGGAGGAGATAAAGGATAGATGCTAGAGGAAATGATAGATGTATCTATTTGCAACACTATTGAGCAGAGCGAGATAGTGTTTCTCGATAGTGTCGTAATGAGTCAGTGTGCTCCACTATCTCGCTCTGCTCGATAGCAACACTACCTCCCTTTGCTCCATAGTGAAGCAACACTTGATGGCTTGTTACAACACTATCTCGCTCTGCTCGATATTGTTGCTAGTCAATGTGATCCACTATCTCGCTTTGCTTGATAGTGGTGCAACTAATTTCAGATCCCCTTGATTACCTCAATCAGAAAGTAATAGACACATTAATATAATATTACGAGGTTATGTCATGAGCCATATATTGGTTTGGTTGCGAAAGGATATTGGAAGGAAACGTATAAAGTAAAATTCAAAAACACAAACACATCTATATCCTATCCCCTCACACCTATATCCTATATATACTGTTACCCCCCCTCACACATCTCTTTTGTCTACTGTTGGGTTACCCAAGTATGTGAGTTTCCAACTTACACAACAAAAAAGGGTAACATCTCTATCCTTTCTCTTTACGGTTTCTTACTTGTATTAATTTTCTCTTATATAAAAGGGTAATAAAATCCGTTTGTAGATATGCTTATCGTATTGAGAACAAAATGCTATAGAGTTTACACTAGAGCTTTAGAATTATAATCACAATACACTCGAGCTAGATGCTCTTTTCTCCTAGGTTTGAGAGTAGTCAGTGTGCTCCACTATCTCGCTCTGCTCGATAGTGTCGTCACCTTTGTTTCCTGTAAACTTGTCCAGACAAGTAATTAGTAACTCCCTCTCAACCCAACCACCAAAAAAAATGGACAATGATGCTTGATTTCTCTTGTACTTTGCCACCATTTACTCACAAAGACGGTATACACCAATATACCCATTTTCATAAGTGACATACAAGATATAAGATATTCGTGCATCTTCGTCATAACAAGCAGTTTTACTCGAATCATCTTCTGACGTTCTCTGCTTTCTAGCACACAATCCAATAATTGTCCCAGAACCATCATCATAGCCAACTGTCAATTTCAGTGCGTTTGGGAAAACATGTTCTTGTCTCATTCCATAAACGCCTCGATAATTGCACAATCTCATTATTGTAATGAATCCTAATTGTGATATGGCTACGAGACACGATAATTCCGGTATTGCCATGGCTATTGACAAACGATTACTATGTCTGTTTTCTTCATGTTGCGGTTGATTCGCATTAAATAATCTTTGTGTAGCACAGGGACAATATAATGATGGGCATTGAAACAATGCAATTTTTTTCGATGTTGTTACAATAAGATATTTATCAATATCAATGTCCGATACGTCACTCGTTGAAAGTTGTCTTTGTATTCTTTTGTACTCATCATTAGGATTGGTCAACTTGTATGACTCCATAGTAGGTTGCCCTAGTAATGTCTCATTTCCAAATTCAACAGTGCTTGCTTTGAAAAAATGAAAACTAGCAGCAAGACCAAGACTAGTAGTATCATGCTTATCTAAGTTATTCTCCAACGCAGCACTTTCTTTCAATATCCTCTTTACCTCCGCCTCTTCATCAATACTGGAATCGCCAAAAACACTTTTTAACGATCCAACAGGTAGAAACCACTTTGTGTCAATGACATTAACTGTCCAGCAGTCTTCAGCCATAATCAATCGAGAAACAATCGTTGGATCACTAAACGCTATCCTTTTGAATCTATAGCTTTCTTGTTGGTGAAGAATCGGATAACCATAATCTTCAATTTCACCACCACGAGACTCTATTACTTCAAAAATTGGATCTGTATAATAGAATTGGTGTTCCTTAGAATACTCATAGTCAGCCTTGGCAAGTGGCCCTTCACTCACTTGGAATTTGAAAACAAAAATAATCAATTCACCCGAGATTGATGCACACGAAACGTAAATTTTTCCTTCAGAATACAGTATTATTGACACATCGGGGATATTATGTAGTATTCGATGAGAAGTAACATGGTAGAATCTTTCATCACCTTGGTGATAATATAATAAAGCCAAAGTTTGTGAATTGTCCGATGTCACAATCACATTATCTTGGAAATCAAGTCCCCATAACGATGCCTTAAGTTTAACTTTATAATCAGGTTGTACCCGTACTTCAGCAAAATTTGGGTAAACGTCTGCTTTCCTTCGTTTGTCATATTTTTCAATATATTCAAAAATAGTCTCAACATTCCAAATGAGAAGGAGCCCATCGTCAACACATGCGCACATTACTTGCCTTGCGTTAAATTCTCCGCTTTTCATATAGTTTATTGTATGTGGATTGCTTGGCCAAGTTGAAATCAATCTATCTACGCTAGGCGTAAAAGATGGCCTTGTTTCAAGTTTCAAACACGGGAAAGGTTGTGGAAGGTTTGTAGTAAGGTCAAAATCATGAAAATACAACTCTGAACCAACGGCAATTACCAAAACTTCTCTTGAATTCATCGATATAATGCAAGTTAGATTATTTTTGTATTTTCTTGCATCGTCTACAAAGTCACAAAATTTGCTTCTGCCTATCAAGTCGAGTTTCAAACCATTATGGAATTTTTCACTAGGCGATCTCAACATCATCTTTGCCAGGTCGGGAGTCTCCGCATTGTCGTAACTTTCGTTAACAAAAGTATCCTGCTGAATTGGAAAGATGAAATTGTTATTATCGGCAATAGTGGTATTCTGTAATGTTGCTTCGCATGAGCCTTTGATGAATCGGAATTTGTTGCCCAACTTGGTATCATTTTGTAAAGACTTGTCAAACAGCGAGGAGACCGTATCTTCCCCTCTTTCCCCATGTTGTATATTCCTAAAACTATCTCTTCTCGTTGTATAAAACCGATCAGAGTCATCCTCCTCCTCCTCCTCCTCCTCCTCCTCCTCTTCCTCCTCATCATCATCAAACCCAGTGCCTTCTTCCAGTAGTTCATCTCTCTGTATCCACCATAAATCTTGTGGATTTTCAAGTGGTTGCCTAGTGAAAATTCGGGCAAAATAAGTAAACAAGGTAGTGTCAATACTGGCAGTATTGTCATCATCAACATCGACATCGACATCATCAACATCATCTTCTTCACTATTTGAGTAGTCGCGATCACGAGTACTCAAATACTCCGAGTCCAAGGCTGACGCCTGCACTTCATTTTCATTTCGTATATTGCTCACTGCAAATGGAGCATTTCTAAGCTGATTAACATATGACAGTTGAAAGGAGTTTTGACGGGACTCATTTGCATCATGATTCCAATCGGTCCGGGACTGGGACTGAGATTGGGAGTGACTATTGGACTGAGACTGGGAGCGACTATTGGACTGAGACTGGGAGCGACTATTGGATTGGGATCGGGAGCGACTATTGGGTTGGTTACCCGGTTGTTGCCAACGACGACGACGACGACGATTTGGTCCTCTTATAGGAATGCACTGTATACCTCGTAGCGCCAAAAAGTTCTCAAACCCAGTCGTATCCATTTAAACCAAGACTAGTAAGGAATATATATCAATAGCGGGTCAAAAAATATGATTCAATTAACAATTAAACCATCTCCAGAAAGGAATGACGTCAAAAAATATGATTCAATTAACAATTATATCGTATCGAGAAAGGAGTGAGTGACGCCGCACAGAAGAGGGCCCCCCTCTCTCTTTAACTGTAACGTGGAGAGAGTCAATGTATAAAGAGCAGGTCATCGCGGCACGTGACCAGCGACAAAACTGGAGAATCACGTGATTTAATTGAAAAATAAAAGAGAGCCTGTATTATAGAAGGAAGGAAGGAAGGAAGGAAGGAAGGGAGCTGAGCTAGCTGAGTTTGTTTTGGTAGATACGTCTGTAGAGGTTTGTTAAGAATGGAGCATCATGCCGATTACACCAATGTTACTGGTCTTTCCAAAAAAGAGACTTTAGAGCACATATTGACCTCGTACGAGGCACTAGTTACTGATAATTGGGTATCTAATTTATCCAATTGTTCGTCTTTATTATGGCACGGCTACCATTCACTCAACATACCAGTGAATTGGACAGGGTTTTATTTAAAGCAAGACAACAACGGTAAACGTGAGTTGGTTTTAGGTCCGTTTCAAGGAAAAGTCGCTTGTCAGGTTATACAATGGGGTAAAGGAGTTTGCGGTACAGCAGCAGCAACGAGTAAAACTCAGTTGGTGTCTAATGTAAATGAATTCCCTGGCCATATTGCGTGTGACGGAGAAACTAAGAGCGAGATTGTTGTGCCAATCGTCAAGGACGATGGAGAAGTTGTGGCGATTATTGACTTGGATTGTTTGGAACTAAACGCTTTTGATGAGGAAGATGTGATTTATTTGGAGAAATTGGCAAAATTGATTAGCAAGTGTCTTTGAGAGAAAAAGAGCCCAAACGGAAGTAAGGTATAGCTCATCTTTCAACTAGACGAGCGAAGCGAGTCTGGTCTCTAGTCTCTCTTCTTGACGAGCGAAGCGAGTCTGGTCTCTAGTCTTCTTCTTTCTACTTTCTTTCGACCAGTCTCTAGTCTCTCCCCTTGACGAGCAAAGCGAGTCTAGTCTCTAGTCTTCTTCTTTCTACTTTCTTTCGACTAGACTCGCTTCGCTCCTCTAGCCTCTAGTCTCTAGTCTCTAGTCTCTAGTCTCTAGTCTCTAGTCTCTAGTCTCTACTTTCTTTCGACTAGACTCGCTTCGCTCGTCTGGTCTCTCTTTTCCTTTTCTTTTTTATTTCTTACTTATTATACATATGTAGACACGACGTTGACACAGATAAATATATATATATATTATTGATACAGTGGCCGGAGGATGTGTGTTTGAGCATAAAGGGGATGTGTGTGCTAGGTACTATGTGATTCATTAGCTTCTGCTCTCCTTTGTTCTTCTCTTTCCAAATTATGATATAACAAACCTTTGGCCTTTTCGACAGCTTGATGCGTACCAGTTATAGTAAACACTCTTTCATCAGATCCATCAGTAGCTTCGCTAATTCCAATCATAGCACCACTAACTTTTCTAACACCTTGAATTCTAGAACCGTTTTTACCAATCAAAGCACCAACCATATCGTTGGGGAAATTAATCGATGCAGTTGCTTTTCTTGTTAACTGATGAGATTTTGGGAAATAGTATGTAGTGCCAACACTTGAAGAAAAATCTTCAATAAGACATCTTGAAATGACCCTCAAAGAATCGTACAAGTCATCTACTGTACCTTGCAATTCCACCAACCTTTCATTTGAGCCCGGCAAAAATGATTTTGAAGCAATCATAGAAACTCCGAAATTCTGTTGAATTTGCTGAATTCTAGCACCTTTAGATCCAATCAATGTCCCCATTTGACTATTGGGGATTAGTAATCTAAGGATTGTTGTTTCTCCTTCAACACATGGTGTCGAGCTCAATTGTTTCAATGGGAAATAGTTGTAAGTCTCAATAGAATATTCGCAAAGCGCTTGAGCAAAATAACTCAATGCTTTTGCACAATCATCCAATTTTCCAGAAACGGTCAAGATCCTTTCATGAGTGCCTGGGGTCAATTTCGAAATCCCTGCTTTAGTATTTGTTTCGTTTCTAATCGAGTCAATAACGCCTCCATTCTGACCAATCAAGCAACCTGCTTCTTTAGCGGAGACCAAGACACGATAGTTGATCAACGCGTCGGCGTTTGATTTGTCGTCTATTGAAGGCAATGATGTAGAATGGTCGTAACCCTCGGATGTGGTCAAGTTCTCGCGTCTTTGTTCTGCCGCTTCTTCAGTAAGTGCCGAGTTGTTGCCATTATCTTTTGTAGCAGTAGTAGCACTGGAATTATTATTATTGTTGTTATTATTATTGGCCAGTGTGTTGGAACCGGAATTTGCGTGACTAGACGGAGCTGATGTGGATGTAGATGCGACAGACTCGGTTCCTGCACCAGCGTTACCAGCGTTACCAGCGTTACCAGCGTTTCCAGCTGCGTTGGCGCTGCTGTCGGTGTTTACTGTAGTGTTGGACGTGGTTGTGGTTGTAGTTGCGGGATCCGTATTTGTAGCTTTGGGCTCGTTTTCAGACGTAAAATTGGTATCAAATAATGATTCAGTCATTATAAGTAATTCAAGCGCTTATAAAAAGGGTCGTGACTGGTTACTTCAAAAGGAATAAACTGGGGTTTGTTTATAATAGAATGTGTTTGATACTAGCGCTCAAATTATTACTAGTTGTTGAAAAATATAAAAAAATTTTTCCATTGTGATTCTCATACATTTTTTATTGCCTTGAGAGTATCACTATACTATCGAGTACACTATCGACTACACTATCGAGCGAAGCGAGATAGTGTAGAAACACCTTGTAGAGACTATCACTACACTATCGAGCACACTATCGAGCACACTATCGAGCACACTATCGAGCGAAGCGAGATAGTGTAGAAACACCTTGTAGAGACTATCGAGTACACTATTGAGCGTAGCAAGATAGGAGAAACACCTTGTAGAGACTATCGACTACACTATCGAGCGAAGCGAGATGGTGGAGAAACGCCTTGTAGAGACTATCACTACACTATTGAGCACACTATCGAGTACACTATCGAGCGAAGCAATATAGGAGAAGTACCTTGTAGACACTTACTACTCTATCGAGCACACTATCGAGCACACTATCGAGCGAAGCGAGATGGCGGAGAGACACCTTGTAGACACTTACTACTCTATCGAGCACACTATCGAGCACACTATCGAGCGAAGCGAGATGGCGGAGAGACACCTTGTAGACACTTACTACTCTATCGAGCACACTATCGAGCACACTATCGAGCGAAGCGAGATGGCGGAGAGACACCTTGTAGACACTTACTACTCTATCGAGCACACTATCGAGCACACTATCGAGCGAAGCGAGATGGCGGAGAGACACCTTGTAGACACTATCGAGCACACTATCGAGCGAAGCGAGATGGTGGAGAAACACCTTGTAGAGACTTACTACTCTATCGAGCACACTATAGAGCGAAGCGAGATGGCGGAGAGACACCTTGTAGACACTTACTACTCTATCGAGCACCCTATTGAGCACACTATCAAGCGAAGCGAGATGGTGTAGAAATACCTTGTAGACACTATTGAGTACACTATTGAGCACATTATCGAGTACACTACCGAGTACACTATTGAGCACGCTATCGAGCACACTATCTCGCTTCGCTTGATAGTGTAGAAACACCTTGTAGACATTATCGAGCACACTATCTCGCTTCGCTTGATAGTGTAGAAACACCTTGTAGACACTATCCAGAGATGCGAGATGGTGCAGAAACACTTTGTAGCGACACTAGTACTGTAGTAATAAAGAGCAGCTATCATTGTCTTATTCTCCAGTGTATGTAATGGAAATGATACTGTTTAATTGGATGATTTTCGTGTAGAGATGACGTTTGGCAGGGTATGAGGTAGAGCTGACGCTAATGGAGGAGGGAAGGGGGAGGACAATAGAGATGAGCATGCTATATAATGAATGGTGAAAGGAGAGGGAAGGGGGATGACAATAGAGATGAGCATGCTATATAATGAATGGTGAAAGGAGAGGGAAGGGGGAGGACAATTAGAGATGAGCACTTTGTCAGGGTATGAGGCAGAACTGAGAAACGTGAGATGAAAGATAGCCCCCCGTTCATTCGCGTTAGTTTTACCTCATATTCTGACAATGTGCTACTCTCTACATGAAGATTATCGAAAATTAATAGTATCATTTCTATCGAGCAGAGCGAGATAGTGCAGTTGATAGTGTCTACAAAGTGTTGGTACACTATCGAGCAGAGCGAGATAGTTGATAGTGTAGTCGATAGTGTCTACAAAGTGTAGCCGATAGTGTCTACAAAGTGTAGTCGATAGTGTAGTTGATAGTGTAGTCGATAGTGTCTACAAAGTGTAGCCGATAGTGTCTACAAAGTGTAGTCGATAGTGTAGTTGATAGTGTAGTCGATAGTGTCTACAAAGTGTAGCCGATAGTGTCTACAAAGTGTAGTCGATAGTGTAGTTGATAGTGTAGTTGATAGTGTCTACAAAGTGTAGCCGATAGTGTCTACAAAGTGTAGTCGATAGTGTAGTTGATAGTGTAGTTGATAGTGTCTACAAAGTGTTCTACACTATCTCGCTTCGCTCGATAGTGTACTCGATAGTGTACTCGATAGTGTACTTCTAATTCTCCACTACTCATTCTCTTACATTCACAAGACTCCTATATAATCCTTTGCATTAATTGTGGCGTAACTTCCTCTTCTAAAAGGTGTACTACTGCCAGATAAGTTAATAAATCCTCTTGATGATGTTGGTGTTGCTATTAATGGATCAATTGCATCATCATCTCTGAGCATACTCAAATCGTCATCTTCATTACAAACCATATCGGCAAAAGAATAAAAATCAATTGTGGGAGTAGAAACGGTCTCCTCCTCCTCCTCCTCTTCTTCTCCTTCCTCCTTCTCTTTTTCTTTTTCTCTTGATTGGCTTCTTGTATGGCGAGTTGCACCAGCAAAACTTGAAGATCTTTTGTTTAATAGAAAAGGTGGTTGATTTAAAGGTTGTGGTTTACTAAATGAAAAGCCAGTGGTTGATTTTGACAAGCTGAGCTTGCCTGCAGGACCGGAGCTGCTGCTGTTGTTGTTGTTGTTGTTGTTGTTGCTATTGTTCAGTTTGGAGTGATCCAATTTGGATATAATCAGTTGTGAAATGATACTTCTCGCTCTCGGCCTAAATGTTGGTGATATTGCATCGCCTTGTGCTATTTCCAGATTCAGAGGCGTAGAATAGTTTTGGAAGCTGCCAACAGAGTGTTTATGAGGATCAAAAGGTTTAATATCGTCATCATCCATTTCGTAATCCTCGTCACAATAGCAATTCAATTTGACTTGGTCCAATTGGATATTTGGATTCGCCAAGATTTCGGTTGTTTTATCCAAGATGGGACTAGTATAGTTCTCTATACTATAGTGCGCGGGAGTTTCAGGATTAGCCAAACCAGTAAGATAATCGTTATTTGAAACTGATCTTTCGAATATATCGCTAGCTGAGGAGTTGCTAGAGATTGCGCAAGTATGGGGGGGTCGTGAGGTGGTGGTAGTAGTACCAGCAGCAGCAGCAGCAGCAGTAGCAGTAGTAGCAACTTGTTGCTGCTGCTGTTGCCGCAGATTATGCTCATGATGCAGATGCAGATGCTCCTGTTGCAGCTGTTGCAGCTGTTGCAGTTGCTTCTCCTGCTGTGTATGAGTAACAGGAGATAGTTTTAACTTGTTGATTGTTTTTTTCACAAACTTGTTAAATTTTTCACTTATATGTGGATCTTCATAATTACTCAGTCTTGCTGTATTAAAACTTGTATTGCTAGTACTTTTACAGCTTGTGTTGTGTAAATAGTTCAAGTTCCTCGAGGTATTACATGAATTGAAATTTGTGGCTGGAGAATTAACCTCGTCAATCGATGACGACAGGTTACTATAGAGATTAAAATTGACATTATTGTGGGTAGTCGCACTATTAGTCGCAGTAGTAAATTGTTTGGACATTTAAGGAAAGAAGAAAACTGTCAAGGATTTCAAGGTAAAAGGGCAATAAAAAAGGATAGAACTAAAGTAGAATTTGATTAGTAGTAGGCTGTAAATGAGATTCTGAAACTGCCCATAAAGGTTGTTGTTGTTGTTGTTGTTGTTGTTGTTGTTACTAGTAAGTGAAAAAATAAATTGTAGATCAATAATCAATGACTATTGTGTATAGGGAGAATATATGAAAAATATATATAAATATATGAAACCACAGGGGGGGGGGAGACACGGGAGGGAGGGAGGAACACAGGTGTGAGTGAGGGTCAGATAAGTCGTGTCTATATCTTAAACTATTCTTAAAAGAGATTTCAATCAAACACACTTCAAGAGGGGAATTCAATCAAGGGGGATATCTACTACTAGTTTTATATACTAAAGAGAGTGAAAAAAAAAGAGAGAAGCTCGCATTGTTAGTGTACAGTGCTCTTTTTTTTTTTAGATGATCTTTACTTCATTTGCAGTGAGACCACTGGAAGTTTTTTTAGTGATGACCAAAAATATAAAGATAAAATACACGCACAGTTTATGGTACAACGAACCGTCAAACCAGTTTCTATCACGCATTTGGCATCACCTATCGTGCATCACGCATGACGCACTAAAATTACAATACCAACAAGACTATCGAGCAAACAAGACTATCGAGCAAACAAGACTATCGAGCAAACAAGACTATCGAGCAAACAAGACTATCGAGCAAACAAGACTATCGAGCAAACAAGACTATCGAGCAAAGCGAGATAGTCTTGTGTGGTATTTAACAACATGACTATCGAGCAAAGCGAGATAGTCATGTAGCGTGGTGTGTAAAGAAAAGCGATATTGTTGGTGTGGTATTTATAGAATAGCGATATTGTTTGTGTGTAAAAAAAAGCGATAAAAAATTATCGAGCAAGACATTGGAGCAAAGCGAGAATATAGGGCGAGACTAGGGCAAAACTAGGGCGAGACTAGAGCGAGACTAGGGCGAGACTATCAGGCAAGACTAGAGCAATACCATTGGGCAAGACCATTGGGCAAGACCATCTCGCTTTGCTCGATAGTCTTGATAGTCTTGATAGTCTTGATAGTCTAGTGGCTAGTGTCGGCTACATAAACTACAAAAGTCACATATCCCACAAAGTCAAATATCCCACAAAATCATACTATCCTACAGTCATACTATCCTACAATAATACTATCCTAATACTATCCCACAGTCATACTCACCCACAGTAATACTACCACGTATCTGTAATTTCTATTTTTCGTATCTCATCAACAAAAGTGAAACAAAGCGATGGGATTGTAATGCCTCTTGTAAATGAGGCTTGACGATGGAGCTCTACTCAATAGAGTCAAAGGGCAACTAGTACCTCTACTTAATAGAGTCAAAGGGCAACTAGTACCTCTACTCAACAGTGTCAAAGGGCAACTAGTACCTCTACTCATTAGTGTCAAAGAGCAAGGGGGGTTGAAAAAGACAGACAGACTTATCTCTAGTTATAATTTAGATCACCCATCTTAACAGCAACTTCACTGCTATTCATTTAACTGAAATTTATATAGCTAAAAATACATGCAAAAATACATTGCCAGAATACATTGCCAGAATACATTGCCAGAATACATTGCCAGAATACATTGCCAGAATACATTGCCAGAATACATTGCCAGAATACATTGCCAGAATACGTAGCCTGATTTACCTCATTTCTACTGCAATTCGACTTAACTCCAACTCGGGTCTCTTTGAAATACCACTTTGGTTTCAGTGGTTATCAATGGCAAGTAAAAATAATGGCAAGCAAAAAATATTAATAGCAAGAGGAGATAAAATATTAATGGATCTTACAGTTTAATTGATAAGATTTGAAAGAATAGCTTTCAGCTGTATTCAGCACATTGACTAACGAAAAAGATACGATCAAACCGTGTGTCTTTTGCTGTATTTCCCCTATAAAACCTTTTTCTTAGTAAACTTTCACCTTTTTCTTAGTAAAATTTGCACCTTTCTCTTTAGAAACTTGCACCTTTTTATGCCACATGTATTCATTTAGTGAAGAATACAAGAAAAATGGCGTTATAAACAAAGACTCACAATGTCACAAAACATTTTTTCCTTGTTTCAAAAGAGATTCATATAGAAAGAATGGGTTTGATAGCAAGGGACCCCTATATAACTTGTTCCCATCCTCTTTCGATTCCTAAACTTTTCTCCTTGTTTATTTTCTTTTTATTTTTATTTTTATTTTTGATTTATTTAGCCGACGTCAAATGCATGTTTGTAAAAGAAGAATGAAAATCATACGATTTACATTCTCTTTACATTGAAACTCATCTCCCCAAAGTATCCTAACCTATTCTAACCTATACTAACCTATTCTAACCTATACTAACCTATTCTAACCTATACTAACCTATTCTAACCTATACTAACCTATTCTAACCTATACTAACCTATTCTAACCTATACTAACCTATGCTAACCTATGCTAACCTGTATGCTAACCTGTAACGTGACCTGTCTTTTTCAAGGTATCCTAACCTGTCCATCTTTCTTTAAATACCCCTAACCTGTGTATCCCCTAGGCCGGGAGCCGGGAGCCGGGAGCCGGGGCTCTGCACCTCAACACTATCGAGCAGAGCGAGATAGAAACACTAAGCCTGTTACAACACTATCGAGCAGAGCGAGATAGACACTGACTAGCCTGGTACAACACTATCGAGCAGAGCGAGATAGGAATACCAATTAGCCTGTTACAACACTATCTCGCTCTGCTCGATAGAAACACTATCTCGCTCTGCTCGATAGAAACACTATCTCGCTCTGCTCGATAGAAACACTATCTCGCTCTGCTCGATAGAAACACTATCTCGCTCTGCTCGATAGAAACACTATCTCGCTCTGCTCGATAGAAACACTATCTCGCTCTGCTCGATAGAAACACTAAGCCTGTTACAACACTATCTCGCTCTGCTCGATAGTGTTGGTGTTGGTGTTGGTGTTGGTGTTGGTGTTGGTGTTATTGTACCACATCACGTGATTTTCCATTCTCGGAAAAACAATTTTCCGTCATACCTCATCTCATCTCATCTCATCTCATCTCATTAAGTAGAGCGAGGTAGTGGTGCAACACTGTCTACACAGACACTATCGACACTGTCTACACAGACACTATCGACACTATCGACACTATCGACACTATCTCGCTCCGCTCGATAGTTCGATAGTGAAGCCACCAAGTGTTGCTCCACTATCTCGCTCCGCTCGATAGTGTCTGGAGGTCAATAGACCTAATATTGACCCCCAAACTAGAGTGCAATAGTTCTTTCTTAGTAGCGGTATATACATGTAGATAGCTCAAAGGCATTTCTATTTCTTTTAAACCTCTTCTCGTGACCACCACCCATGACCTACAAACAATATTGAAAAAAATAATTAATAGATGTACAATTCTTTCCTTGATACAAAACAAACGCAAGAACCAAAATACCTAGGTGTACAATGTCCGGTACGAATGAACTAGAAAAACACTTACTCACAAGATGCTACGACTCGCATCATGAAATTTTACAAGTCTTGGAATCTAGATACTCTACAGAAGGTTCTGCATCGTCGAAATCCAACATTTACTTCAAATCCAATGACGAACCGTTTAAAAAACGTAAACTTAATCTACTTCAACAAGACAACTCATGTGATATACCAGTTATAAGGAAGCAGTCGACTAGGAAAGAGTTGAAAGAGTACATGAACAAAACCTTGACCAATCAAAGAAAATTGATTAAAAAAGTCCAGCGTCTTCGAAAAACTGGTAAACCTTTTGATTTACAAGATTACCTCGATCGATATAATGTTCCAAAGTTTGAAAACTTTATTCAAATGAACCAACTATGGCAAAGCTATATTCAAAACATACTTTCTTATGATGGTAAGTTCCAATTCCAAATCTCAAACATTTTGCCAAAACTCGTTAATGCTGATTTTAATGGATGTTTTATAACTGTTTTACAATCAAGAAATACAAACGTTGTAGGGACAAGGGGTATCGTTGTTTGGGATAGTCAACACTCATTTATAGTTGTTACTCCTAGGGGCGAAGATTCGAGGGAGTGGACTGATGGGAGGGACGTTAACTTTCTCTCACCAACTGAACTAATTGGTGGATTTAAGGTTATTCCAAAACAGCACACAATGTTTGGCTTTGAAATCATTGTTCCTCACAATAATAACAACAATAATAAGGAGGAGGAGGAGGAGGATAATGTATTAGAGAGGGAGCATGGAGAGAATGATTTAGTCGAGGGCAACGATGACGACTTTGTAGAATCTATCGCATTCACAATAATAGGTTCCAGGTTCGAACTACGAAGCGTTGACAGGTCGTCTAAAAAATTCAAGAATCATCCAATACAAGATGTTTTGTGATTAAATATATTATGGAAAACAGGAACTTTGGATACTGGATTCAACCAGGCAATTGGGCCTTGTCACTAAAAGTGTAACTCAAAAACACCTTTACTTAGGCCACCCATACACTCTTTTTCATCGTGTCAAGTGGCAGCTAGTGTGCAACACTATCTCGCTCTGGTAGATAGTGTCACTAGTCTCCTCGACTATCTCGCTCTGCTCGATAGTGTTTCTTCTTTCTTTCAATCAAAAACAATTGAATTGTATAGCAGTATCCTTTAAATATTGGTTCAATACATCATCGATATCATCATACATTTCTAAAATCTTCTCGTCCGATATTTCCTTCTTTGCAGCTTCAATTTCATTAAGAAGCAACTGGTATATTTTACTTGTCGATTCATTGAACTTCAAATACTTGGAAGACTCAAAAATGTGCTCAATAAATCGACAATCTAAATTCAAATTTAATAAACTTGTTGCATTAACGAAATGTTGGTTGGTTCGAAAATTATCCAAAATGTTTTTCAAAAATGACATTTGCAATTCATTTAGTATTGTTACAAAGATTTCCTCGCTTGTTAATGGCTTTAACCAATGTACAAGCTTGACAAAATATACCAATACTTCAAAGACAAAGCCGTCTACTGTTAATGGCGACTTGGAATAGGCTAATGATGATGACGATGGTGACGATGACAATGGTGATGGTTCAACATCTTTGCCATTTGTTTCTGGATTCATGGCAAGGAAAAAGTTATTGGTAATGTTGGCCACATAACCCTTTTCATTATTTAGAATATCATCAATTATAGTCAAGCTGGCCTTGTCTATATCTGTAAATAACTTCAAATTTTGTTTAGATAATTTTTTGGAATATTGTTTGTCAAATTCCACTATTAATCTAGGGTACGTTATACGCGATAATTTGTCAAAATTGTTCATTGTCAAGATCTTGAATATCTCAATGCTGGATCCACTATTATTGTTATTGATGGTGGTGGTGATAATGGCAAGATCATTTCGATGCAATCCTTGTCTATCTATGTTATATTTCTTCATCATTGAATCAACAACTATATTTAAAGTACGCATGAACTGAATTTCTATACTCATCAATATTCTTTTGCTTGGATAGTTTGCCACAATATTAAACTCGCTTTCTTCAGTACCAACAGTAACAATTTTCGCAATCTTTTTGATCATATACAATTGATAATACTCGATAATATTCATCAATTTAGTACATGAACCATCTTTTAGATTATGTCTCCCTTCTATTTTCCAGTCTTCCATTTCATAAAATTGCGAACAATCATTGACCCAAGTTGAACATATGGCCTCCAAGATTTTCTGATTTATTTGAACTGAGGAATTCTTCAATTGCTTTAATGACTTATTAGTATCTTGGTATCTACTCACATTCCCAATACTCCCAACCACTTTCCCCAACCTTTGCATAAATTTGTTAACAGTTGCTTGTATTACCCCAAGATGATATGCTGTAGATAAAGAGTTGGCATAACATGGAACAAACTGCTTATAATTGGATGGCAGTGACTCTAGCTGTTGAACACCACCAGTTTTATCTTTACTCTCATCAGCAAATAAGGTGACCAACACCATCACGACTTGATCAATAACTTTCAAAAACAGGTCCCTTATTGTTCCATTGGGGTCTACTCCCAACCTATAATAATGGGCATAATTATTAAAAAATTTATCAGCAAGTCGAAGAAACAAGACTTCAAGGTAGTTGATAAAATTCAATAACACCAACCAAGTCTCGTTCACCAAACTCAAATCAAGGGAATCATTAGTTCCAAATGCCTCTTCAATAATATTCATTTTGTCCTCATTTGTTTTAGCAAATTTGATATCCTCTTTATATTTTTCATACTTATCTGCAATATAATTAATATGCGATCCATTTCTTTTCTCAACCTTGAGTGATGCAACATAATCAATCAACTTGTTCTGCATGAGCAAAAATTTACCATCAAATTTCCCGACTTGGTATTCGAAATCATTATCAAGAATTTCAATTTGTTTATTGAGAAAATCGGTGATTGGCCCTAATTGAACAAAATTCTCCTCCTTTTCTTGACCTTTTGTTGATATCTTGAGCAAACTCTCTACTAATGTCATAAATTTGGAGTTATCGGTGGTATATGTAGAATCAGTTCCGCGTCTACTGTTGACTTCATGATCCAATGATAATAATTCAGCATGAACCTTGTTTCTATACTGACTGGCTATCTGATCAACTTCGTTAAACACCGTGGTTATTAATGTCTTCTTCAATGCGTTCTCATCAGCCAAATCTTTCAAGTTCGCTTCCAAAACAGACGAGTCTGATTGCAGTGCTTTCGATTCTTGTCGAATTTTTTCAGCTTGGTGGTTACTTCTTGCCTCGAAATCTCGTTGGAATTGCCTCTTTTGACGCACGTATAAATTATATTCATTGATAAACTTGTTATTGTCATTTGCCGAAAGAGCCTGAATCAAGCTCAAAGGTAGATTGAAAAAGAATTCATTAGCTTTAATAAATTCGAGAATATTGGCTATTTTTTGCTCTTTTGCTCGATTATCTGAAATAGGCCGAATCATAAGCGATGTTGTGGTGATCAAGTTGTTCAACGAAGCCTCCAATTCCGATGAAATATCACCACCGTGAGTTGCTGTTGTTTCTGCTCCTTTACTGGTAAATGCCAATTTGTGTCGGCGAGGGTTGAAAACCTTTGAGTTTTCTCTATCCTGTTGCACTTTAGTTTTCTGGTTTACAAACTCAGCCAATAACTTGTCTATACATTGTTTGCAATCGACAAATTTCTCGAAATTTACTTCAATATCATGCCTTAAATCGCTGGTATATGAATGTATGCTTTTCTCCAAAACTTTCAACGCACTACCCAACTCTGCTAAAGGTGTGTCCTTGTGAACCGTGGTCAAATATTTATACGAGTTGAATTCTTGTGAACTGACTAGAAAGTTATTCACAACTGCGTCACCTGGTGATTGGATGATGCCCTTGCGCATCAAGTCCTGTATGATATTGGAGCCTTTACCTTTCAATGGATCCTCAAGGTCATGTTCATGTTCGTGTTTCAAAATGTTCATCTTTCCCGCGGTCGAGTCGTCCAACCTATTCAAAAGCTTGAATCGCTCTTCCACTGTCAAATCGGATGCTCTCATAGGGTAGCTTTCATCAATATTGACCACATCTTCCCGCCGTGTAGGACGTAATGTCCCAAGTCCATACGTGGCTAGCAACTCAGCTTCCAGGGGACTATAATCCAACATTTCTCAATACTAATTACCTGCCAATAACAGCTCAAAGTTTCGCCAAATACTACCAAATACTACTTTGTAAAGTATCAAGGAGTTATTTCTTTATACAGACAACTCTCCTATACCATCAAATACCCCTCTGTACCCCTGTATAGCTCACTTCTCTACAACTCTTTTGGTTATTCATTCCACCTTCTTGTTTCGCTTGGTGACATTTTTCATTATCAACAAAACGCTACCAAATGACTATAAACCATCCAACGACGACCCATCGGGGGTTTGGGATTGGTGTTTAGGGGCTATATAACGTTTACAGCTATGATACTTGTTTCTATTTATTAGTTGACGATGGTCTTGTGTTGCTCCTCTTCAAGCTTTTTGATTCTTTTTTTGAGAAAAGCTCGAAACTCCTTCAGGTTGGATGAATTGGGTTCAGCTTCCATCAAAGAGTAAACAAGTTGTTTAAAATCATCCACCAATCTCTTATCATCCACCAATCTCCTATCATCTACCCCCCATCTCCTATCATCGAGGTTCTCCTTGTTATAACATTTCATGATTCTTTTCCAATTGACCTTTTCCAAAGATGGATATTTCAATTCTCGAATCTTTTTCAATATCCAAATCTCAACTTGATTATTATTAGTACTCATTTTGCATTGCACGGTTATTTTACTCTCTTTGGCATTGAGTTGGGTCCATTTATATCGACATTGAATACGCGATCTAGTACCGTTCATCTTTTCACTAATAATAGTCCAGTTGATCTTTTTTATTGCCAGCTCTAGACTATCTTCTGAGGTGGTGGTGGTGGTGATTCTCAAGTCATAAACCAATTCATTGACAACTTTAATCAATCTCGCTTCTTCTTCAGCACTCCATTTCTTCGATGCTCTTGAATTACCACATTTCAAATAATTTCTCCATCTATCGCGACAATCCTCAGGCATTCTTCCTAAAAGTTCACCAATCTGTTTCCACTTGCCAACATGAACAACAGCCAAATCTCGTAGTCTCGCATCATCTTCACTCGTCCATTTGGCTCTCGTGTCAAAAATATGATACCGTCTTCTAATGTGTTTATAAACGCTTGACTGACTCCTATATGAAATCGCTTTGCATACATGTTTCCAAAACTTATCAACCTTACGTTCCTCTGTCCAAATGCGCTCACACAACTGGGCCCTTGTCCAACTTCTAAGGCGACATACACCTGCCAAATAGAAATCAATTATCTCGTCCTCGTCACGTACAAAAGGTCTTGGTTTATCTCTTTTTTCCAAAGGTACGTTTTCCTCGTACCATTTGTTGGCTTTTTCAGCAGTTACATGGATAAGGTCATCTATATCAAAGATGCCCTTGTAATCTTCATCAGAATGCCTTGCCGTGAAAGTATCATCACTATTTGCTGCTGTTGAAAAATCATCTTCCAACTCCTTCAATGTATTTGCACTTTCCCCATCTTCCAACTCCTTCGGGGTATTTTCCCCATCGTTGAGTTCCTCTTCTTCAACCATGGCGTTAGCTGCCGCCAATAGTCGCGCTTGTTGCTCCTCATTAAGGTCACATGCTCTGTCCATAGTTTCAAAACACACAGATTTGGTGCCATTTTTATGGACAACCAATGATGAAGAAGAAGAAGAACAAGAAGATGATGTTGGTGAATTTATTTCGGATTTCGTCTCTTGAAGAAGCTTCTCTTGAGGAAGCTTCTCTTGAGGAAACTTCTCTTCATTTGTATCACCTTCTTCTCTTGCATTGGGCTCAGTTTCAATGCCTTTCGCGTCTTTATCAAGCTCATCTCTACCACCAACATTGTCTCGTCTACCATTAACCTCGACTCCGTCACTTTTTACCTTCTTTTTATGCTTCTGATGACTATTCTCTTTACTCTTTCGCTTCTTACCTTTGGATTTCACCGAGTACAAAGTTTCTTCCCCAAAACTATTACTGTTACCGTCGTACTTATCCTTACTTCTCTTTACATTAGCATCAACTGCATTCTTGACTCGACCCTTGTCCTTAACAGACACTTTGCCCGAAACACTTTCTTTATGCAAATGCTTGAGATTCACAACCTTCCCTTTCTCTCCAGAAGATGCCCAGTCGCTTGTATGCTTCCTCTTGTGGGTCTTCATTGGATGATGAACTCTTGATGAAAAAGGAATTACCCAGCTTGAATGTTAATTAAGTGAAAAGTTACCCTGCTAAAAAAAAATTTCGCAAAAGTTACCCTGCTCAAAAAAAGGCTTCCCGCAAAGTTACCCTGCTCAAAAAAAAAGTTTCCTAAAAGTTACCCTGCTAAAGACACTTTCCCCCCCCAATAAAGTTACCCTGCTAAAAGATTGTTCCCACTTCTACTTACCCTGCTTATTTTTAGTTATTCTGCTTATTATTTGTCCTCCACTTTTAGTTATTCTGCTTATTGTTATTGAAAATCTTTTTTTGTCTGTCTGTTGTGTTTTCACATCTTGCGACACCATCATCTTTTCAACAAACAAAGCCATTTCTTATCTTGTTGATGCCTTAAAGACCCACCAACAATCTTCATTTCCCATATCTTTGGTGGGGGAGACGAGTCATAATAGTTTGCAATTTGGTAAAAGTAGTCATGATACTATGAGCAGTTACTTTTCTCAATATCTACCGCACATAAACCTTCCAATAGCTTTTCAAAAAGATGGCTCTGAGACTGAGTCTGTAACTTCATCTGTAAGCGAGCACAAGAAAGGAGAGGATGGTCATGTTGAGTATATATGTGTTTTCACCACTAGTGATTTTGATTGTCCAGAAACCACCAATGAGACATTACAAAATCAGATTTTGATGTTTATACATAGTGACGCGGATGCTAGTACACGTATCAAGGACACTTTTGCCAAAACACGGTTAATCGGATTGTTAAAGGGAGTTTGGGCATTTACAAGTGAATTCGAAAGGAGCCCTCAAGAGGTGGAGGAAAAGAGGGCAGCGAAAAGTGTTGATTTGTCATTGACAGTCAAAGGATCAAAAGATTCCATTCTTATTATTCAATTAGAAAACCACTACTATCTAACTTGTTGCATTAAATCAATAGATGATATCGTTTTGAAGCAATTGAAACATATTCTTTTTCAACAGTATTCCTTTTTCAAATTGCACGAAAAATCAATATCATCCTTGAAATCCGAGATGGATCTGGAAACAGTGGGTTTGATATTAAGTCGTTATTGGACAAAATTTATTGCTACATACAATCTGGCAAAAATTGGTGGGATTGGTGAGTTGAAATGGCCCAATCTTTTAAGCTGTCCTGGGTTTTTGAGGCTTTTCATAGATAATCATAGTTTATATAAAAAGTCGTCTATCAGCATTCCTAAACGAACTCAAGAGGATTTTATAGAATTATTGAAAAAAGAGGCGATGGTACCATTTGGAATAATTGTCAACTGTGTCGATAAAGTAGCAATGAAAAAGTTTGGATTGATTTATTGCAGTACCCTTACGGAGCAGATGAGTCAAGATTCATTGATTCAAATTTATAACTGGTTAGAACTGGATAGTTGGCTATCATCGGACAAGACACATATTTTACAACATCAAGATCCAGATGTAAACTTGAAAAGAGAGGATGACCCATCACCTTCGTTTTTGCAGTCCAATATGTTTGACCCTATGACGCTAACTAACAACTTAATAACACAGCCGTTGTATACAGTTTCAGGGTTGATGAACTTGAGGCTGTCTGATGATGCCAACGGAGACGAAGTAAGCAGACAAAAACAACAAGAGGGGACAACTGATAGCAGGTGGTTTTCTTTACCTTTGGTTTTTAGGAAGATGAGCTTGGTAGAGAATAATACCGGAGACGAGGTAGAGCCAATTGACCAGCGTCTAATGGATGCACAATCAGAATCACAATCACAACCACAACCAGAATCACAACCACAACCAGAATCACAACCAGAACCAGAACCACAACCAGAATCACAATCACAAATATTGCAGCCTCAGTCACAAGAATCTTATCAAGTGCAGAATGGTGGATTATTTCCTGAAGTAGAAGAAGAAGAAGAAGAAGAAGAAGAGGAGGAGGAGGAGGAGGAGGAGGAGGAG